GCGACGCCGCGACGTGCCTTCCTCCGCTCCGGGTCACGACGCACGCGTCACGCGTCACGACGCCCCGTCACGCCGCGCGTCCGTCACTTCGTCACGCAGCGCACGTGGCGCGGAATAACTTTTATCAGTGCAGGGAGCGCGCGTCCTACGAACCGCCAAGCCAAAACGCCTCCGATTTGTGCCTCTACTTGTCGTTCTTCCGAGTGTCGCGGAGTGCGAGTCCGTCCGAAGTGGCGTCCACGGCCACGGCGCGACCCGAATGCCCGAAAGCGAGCCAGAGCGTCACATTATTCACCTTCACTTCACCTGCCGCGCTGCCTGGCCATGCCTGGCTGGACCTCGCGCGCCATCAACATATTCAATGAGACCCCACCCCCCGCCCCGCCCCCCGCCCCGGGCTGGCCGAAGTGGCAGACTGGTTGGGCAGCCACGGCGTATTTGGCGGTCCGAGAGTCCGAGAGGAGAAACTTGAACGCAGGACGGCCGACGGCGCCGACGGCCAGCCTCCCCAGCCGGGGCCGCCGTCCGCCGGGCGCGTCCCCGCCGCTTGCCGAGCCTCTTTGATCCAGGGAATGCCATCTTGACAACAATCACAGATCGAATCTACGAGGAAGATTTATTTACAGCTCAGGAGTTGGCAACTGCATGTAAAATACGCAGTGGAAATTGTCGTGTTGGCACACCTCCGGACCGCCGTGGCCCGCCTCGATCCGGCATCCGAACAACCGCAGCGATTTCCACCTCGTCGCCCGCCCCGCCCCGCCCCGCCCTTTGGCCACATTGTCATTCCTGCACAGAGTATAAATTGGAAGGCGGGAAAAGGGAAAAGGGGGAGGGGGTAAACGTGAGGCGATGAAACAATGAAGACGCTCGGGGCGGCGTTGCCAGACCAAAACGCGCGCCCGGCCCTGGCCGCCCTGGCCGCCCTGGCCCGGCCCGGCGGGGCCCGCGGGTACCCGGGTGGTACCGGTACCGGGTACGCCTTGCCGGGTACCGAGGGAACATTCCTGCAGGAAGCACGCGGCAGCGCCCTGCGAACCAAGGGACCGAGGGCCGGCAGTTTGCACACTGTCTCGACTTGCACCGCGCCCATTGATGCTGACACTGCAGACTGAGCGCTGTCTCCATCTCACTCACGGGGCGTCCCGGAGACGTATGTGCGAGGGAGACGGAGAGCCGTGTCTGCAATGCGCACCCTGTGCTGAATGCAGAATGCGGCAGAATGCAATGCAACCACCTGGCACGCCAGCGTCGCCAGCGCGCTTCGAAGGACTGCCGGCCGGGGGGTCCTGGCAGGCGTAGCGGGTTGGCGGGCGGGCGGGGCGGGGCGGGGCGGGCGGGGCGGGCAGGGCAGGGAGGCGCTTGGCAAACGGCGTGGCCGCGCCGCCATCGTCACGACGGCGGAAAAAATGTTGTAGTTACTCTGGTTGTGTGTTGTGTGCTCAGCGACGCCTCGCCAGGCCGTGCCATGACTGGCAGAACGCCCGTCCCGTCCGCAGGGGGGAAGCTTTGTGCTGGAGGCACGCTGGAGGCGAGGAAGTGATGCTGCGAGCCGGCTGGACCATTCCAGGAGACCCCGAGTGAGCCGGCTGGAACTGCTGGAACGAGAGGCGTGGTGCGGTGTCCGTCCCCCCTCCCCTCCCCCGATACGACTGGAATCTCCACGGGACGACGCCAGCCCCCAGCGCCGGCCATGCCCAACCCATCTCGCGTTGTGGCGGGCTGGCCGGGCGGGAAGCCGCGGGGAAACATCGCAAACAGTGGCGAGCCAAGATCATGGAGTGTTATTGTGATTATGGCCGATTATGGCACCCCGCGGGGCGCGACCGCCCGGCGCCACCCCGCCGCCTCGGACAGGACGCCTAGGGTCCTTGCAGTGCACACTGAACCGCGCGAAGCACTCGCCAACGTCAGCAAGGGCTGTGCATTCTAGTTCTAGTGCGTGCAGCGTGCAATGAGGCCCCGCGTCCCACGAGGGCTGGGGTGGCTGAGGTGTGGCAGAGGCCGTCACATAAATTAGCGCGGCAGCGCAGCAGGGACGGCGTCGATCTCTATCTTTATCACTCTCTTTCCTTCCGTGAGGCCGAGAGCGTCTCGGCCGTTACGTCCAGCGAGTCCGGTGCACCCAGTGCGCGCCGCCGCCACCCAGCAGGTCCAGCGGGCGGTCCTCCTCACTCCGGAACGGCGGAACGGCGGTCCGGAGCAGCACAGTGCCGCCAACAAAACGCGCCACGCGGAACGCAATCGGAAAAAGAAGACAAATAGATAAAGCTTGTCAAAGCTGTCGATTTATTCGTCCGGTTTTACGCGGCTGAGGCTGAGCCTCCCTCCAAAAAGGAGCCGGTCATCGGCAGGAGAGCAGGCAACAGCGCCAACGGCAAAAGGCCCGAACGGCGGCACGCATCTTGTCAGCAGCACCCCGCCCCGCCCCGCCCCGCCCGGTCCGGCCACGCCCTCCCACTCGCAAGCGTCTCGCAAGCAGGTTGAATCGTTGAATGCAGAGACAGAAACGACGCTCGCGCCCCGCTGTGCTTCTCATGCCTGCCGCGCTTTTGGGTGGGACGGTACCGTACACACAAACCACACAAACCAGCCGGCCGGCCGCACCGGGGGCACCCGCTGCACCCACTGCTCTTCCTGGACAAGGCGGGGAGTCCTTCCCGGGACGCAGGCTGGGGCTGCTGGTCTGGGGCCAACGGATGAATAGGAAGGGGAACAACACGCACGCACACACACGCGCACTCACGTCGTCACACATGTGACAAAAACATCGCAGGGGGAGGCTGGGCTGGGCGGACCAGCCAAAGCAGGGTTGTCGGTTGTCGGCGTGCGTGGGAAATGTTGCTGGTTCGCCAAATTTTTGGCGGGAAACGGCAGAAAACAGCGGAAACAGCGACGCGGACGGGAAATGGAAAGGCGTCGCGTCGCGGCCGCTCGGGTCGTAAAGCACTGAGCGGCACCGGCAATACCGCCAATGTCGCGCTGCATTGCTCGGCATTGCTGCAGGCTGTCGCTGTCTCTCTCGCTCTTATGGAGAACGGCCCCACGAGTGAGAGAGACGAGCGAAGAGAGCGCGACAAGCAGGTGGCTGCAGTGGACATCCAATGCCTGGCTGACCGACGACCTCCTCAGCTGCTGGCTGCTTGCGCAGCGTGCTCTACGCTGCCTTGCTGCCCACGAACAAGAGCGCAAAATAAAACAAAAACAAAAATCACCGGACGATGCTTATCCATGCGCCCATACATTTGGATCGGGCAGACTATATGCCCCTCATCCGGCGTTTACTGCGCCACAGCACAAAACAACAAAACGAAAAGGACCGAAAAAGCTAGATCCCTGCGAGTCTGCGAGGCAGCTAACTTCTATCTCTGCATCTCCATTCTCCTGCCACCCACCAGTGACTCTCTCCGGCCGCCACGTCACGTCCAGGCAGTCCAGGGTGACGACACGGCAGGCCGGGCAGGGGGTTATGTCCAAACACCCCTACCCGAGGACGACACTAGGCGGGGACGCACGGAGGCACTAACGAGACACGTAAAGATTATCGTCTGGCCATGGCGTGCCGTGGCGTGCCACTGCCTTATCGGCCCAGACCGATTCTGAGAGTCGTTCCGTCGCTGTGTCTCTCTCGCACCCATACGGGCCACCCCGTGAGTGCGAGAGCGACGAGAACGACTCCTCGGAATCAGGTCCCCAAAGTGGCGGGTCGCCGACCCATCTGCCTATTATTCCACCTGCCGTAATGACACATTTACAGTGCCCTGTCCGGTCCTCACTCCGACAATTGGACCGCGGCAGTCAGCAGTCAACGACAGTCAACGGGCCGGCGACATCTTTATGAAGCAGCCCGGTAATCTGACAATCAGACAAGTGGCGTGCGGTGAGCATGGTCAGCTCGGCTCAACACGCCGCCCGCCTCGATTGCACTGGATTGCACCCTGCCGGAAGAACCGAGGTCCGGAGGAGCGTTTGACCAGGGTTCCAGGAAAAGGCGCAAAGCCGCGGGAAGTGACATTGTCCTGCTGAAATGCGTGCTACCCGCGGCGACCGAGAGGTGATCGGATCGAATGCTAGCGCTAGCCGCAGAGGCTTCCCGGGCGTTTCGGCGTGGAGTTTCGAGTGTGAGGCTCCCTTGTGAGGCCCCTCCTCGCCGGCCCCTTGCGTCCTTGGGAGCGTTACGGGGCATTTCGGGGGGGCGGGGCAGCCAATGGGCAGCCAGGCCGTCAAGCCATCAGGCCGTCAGGGCCGGGAGGCAAGGAAGAGGCCCAGCAAGGGCCAGGCCGCGTCGAGTACGAGCTTCGAGCGCATTCTTGCCCTGTGGTAGTGGTACTGCCCTGAACCACCCACTACCCACCCGCAGCCCGGCTCGGCGGCGTCGGCGTGGTGAACCTCACCTCACCTCACCTCGGCCCGTCTGCCGGCCGGCCGGTCCGGTCCGTCCGTCCGTCCGCCCATCGGCCGGGCTGGAGCGGCCGGAGGCGGCCGGCCGGCCGGAGCCAGTGGAGCGCGAGCCCAGCCGCGCAGGAAGGCGAGAACGAGGAGCCGGGGGGGGGGGGGGGGGGGGGGGGGCGGAAGGGGAGGGCGCACGCGGAGGGAATGAGGCTCCCAACGCAAAACGAACGCGCCGGAAAGGTGGGTGCGGGTGAGGGGCCTAGCACTCCGGTCAAGTGCTTCCTCCCGCAGCACAAGCACAGCATTTCCCAGGAGCTTAGTCCGCGCTCCGCGGCTCCGCGGTTCCAGGAGGCGTCGTCACCGCGGCCATGAGTAATCCGGCCGCGAGTCACCTCGCGCTATGACAGCCGGCTGGAGTCGCCGAACGCAACAAAGGGGCTCCGCGGCTCCGCGATGGAGATCTCCCCGCGGACGGGGCGGACACACGCGCCACGGCATTGTTTGGGCGCGCCGGCATCGGCGTCGCCGTGGCGTCGCCGTGGCATGCAGAGCACGGCGCAGGCCGCTCCCCGACGAAGACGTGCTGCTTGCTGTTACCACACTGTTACCTGCGCCGAAGACATGAGGCAGGGCGTGCTGGTGCAGGCGGGGTACTGCAGGCGGTGCGGGATGCGCGGCCAGGCCACGGCCAGCGACAGGGTGATGACGGCGAGCAGCAGCAGCAGCATGACGGCCGCCATGGCCCACAGCAGGCCTTGCCGCGACAGCCCCGTCCGCGTGCGCAGGTGCTCCTCCAGCTCCCGGCGCCGCATCTGCAGCCTGTCGATGGTGCCGGACTTGGCGAGGCCCGGCTTCTTGGGGCCGCCGTTGGCGCCGTTCACCACGGTGGCGGCGACGTCGCCCTCCTCGGCGGCCAGCAGCTTCTCCTTGTGGGGGTCCGAGGCCGGCAGCGGGTCGGCGTCGGCGCGCTCCGCGTCCGCGCTGCTGCTGTGGTTGTTGGCGGTCAGGGGCTGGCGCTCCGCGTTGGCGTTGCTGTCCGCCGTACCGGCTTTGCCCACTTTGCCGGGGGGCTCCATGTTGAGCGCCGTCGTGTCCCCGTTGGCCTTCTTCTTCTTCTTCTCGTTCGCCATGTTCACTGCACTGGCATGCTAGCACTCACTCACTACGCGGTACACGCACACGCGCACAAACACACACGCACTCGCGCACGCACTGCACTGAACTGGACCCTAAAGCACTGCACCCACGGCCACGGCGCGCCGCGCACCGCTCAGGTAGACGGAGGTGAAGAAGACCCAAGAGACGCCGAGCCGAGCGGCGAGCCAAGGTGCCAAGCCGAGGCGGCCGGGGAGCCGGGTCGAGGACCGGCCGAGGACTCTCGGGCAGGTAAGGCCGCTAGGCTGCGCGCCGCGCTACGCCAGGCCACGCCGCGCAGCACCGCGCTCCAGCGACGCCACTGGAGTCACTCCAGCCGGCTGCAGGAACTCCAGGAGCTCCAGGCAGAGCGTCGAGTCGGTGGCGGCCGGGATGGGACGGTGGGACGTCCCTGCGAGTCCTGCTGTCCTTGGGGTCTGCCCTGCAGGGCCACCCTCGGCGGGACTTCCCTGTGCGGCAACCCAACGACTGCCCCCAGTCACTCCCAGACACTGCCAGGGCGCAAGGGATGTCCCCCGGAGTCCGCCAAACCAGCCTTGCGCGAAGGCGTCGCGATCGGCGTCCACCACTGCCGCACTCCCACAGCACACTCGACCCAACTCGGCTTCGGTTCGGCTCGGGACGCGGACGCGGCAGAGTGCGGGGCGCAACTGGTGGCGGTGGCGGTGGTGTGGTGGGCCGTGCGGGCCGGGCCGCCGCGGCGGGCAGGGGCGTAGCGTGGCTGGGCCGCCGTGCCGACCCTACACAGTCGTCGTGAAGCCCGCCGTCGCCGTGGTGGTTCTGGTGCTGGTGGTGCGCCGAGGCGTGGCGGGGCGTAGCGTCCGTCCACCAAGGGGGCCGCGTCGGCGGGGTACCAGCAGGGTACCACCGCAGGGGACTCAACATGTTCATCATTGGCTGAGCGCGTCTTCGGCGCTTCGGCCGCCGCTCGGGCGGCGCTCGGCTTGGTTCGGCTCCGCCGGTGGTTGCGGCGCGGGCCGCGGGAGCGCGCCACCAAGCAGGCCCGGCCTCTGGGCCGCGTTGGCGGGAAACCGGCGCGGCTGCGAACGCACGAGCGCGGCTGGCGGAGGCAGGGAAGTCCCAGTCCCACGACGCGGCTTCGAGCAACAACAACCGATGGGCCTTTCGGTCGGCGTTCGCGCAGCTGCCGTCTTGAGGACGTCAAGCTGCTTGCATCAGCAATGGCGCGACAGTCGCAGTTCTACCCGGACGAACGTTAAGATTTGACGTTGACCTGCGGTGCCACATTGGCGCGCTGCTGGCAGTTTGGCGGCGGCTGCAGGCTCGGCTGCAGGCTGCACCGCTGCACCGCAGATTGGCGCGCCGTATCAGGGCGGCACTGTACCACTGTACGCCGTGCTGTCACGCTTATCGCCGAGGGCTTGCTGCCTGCTGCGCTGGTGCTGCCCTCTGGGCGGCCCGGCGGCCTGCTCGTATCGAATTCCTGACGAATCATCGACGCCCTGCCCCGCGGGCCCTGCCCCGCCGCTCGCCTCGTGACCCGCTCGTGACCCCGGCGTGGGCATGACGGCAGAGATCCCCAGAAAAATTGACGGATTGAAATAAACAGGCGGGCGGCCGACGCTGTCTCCGCTGCCTAGCGCCCTCGTTGCAGCGCCCCTTCTTCTCCTTGCTCCTCGACGGGGAGGCCGGCCGGACTTTGGCCGCGGTAATCGTTGCTTGGCGGGGCGGCGCCGGGCGGCGCGCGGTCGATCGGTCTTTGGCGTGTAATCCGAGCTATTATAGAGCGGCCGTCGACGCCGCCCCGCCGACGCCTTCTTATCTGGCAGGAGCGGGACCGCCGACGGACATCGGACTCACTTTGGGACGCCGGTTTCCATTCCATCCCATATCCCCCGCGACGAGGCCAGGTCGCCAGGCCTCGGCCAAGTGGCTGCACTAGAGTAGAGACCCTCCCGCCCCCGCGGCACCAACATACACAGCCGTACGATGGGTTGCCCACCCGCACCTTGCCGGGCGTGCGCCGTGCTCCACGTGGGCGGTAGTCGCAGCCCTGCGCGGCGCCGGCAGGCAACCCATCCTGCACCCCACCGCGGCCCCTGGCAGACCGACGGACCGACGCTGGCGGCTTGGCGTGTCCCGCACCGTCCTGCTCGTTGCGATGTCGTGTGCCCCCGATTGCGGAGGCCTCCCCGCTTGGCTTGGCCAGCAGGCTGATCCCGAACGGTGTGCTCCGTCGCTCTGGCTCTCCCGCACCCCTACGGCCCACCCCACGAGTGCGAGAGAGACAGCGCGACGAAAGCACTGTTCGGTCAGCCTGCAGGCTTCGCGCTTCGCGCCGCACGTCGCGTTTGACAGTCAAATAAAAGAAGTCGACGCCTGAGCAATTAGGCATACATACCGCACCGCGCGATAAGCCGGACTTCGCGACGCGAGGGTGAAAAGGGGAGACGAATCGGACAGGCCGTTATTATTATTTTTATAAATTTTTATCTTTATTTCATTTTTTTTTTGCGTACGTACTTCCACTACTTTGAGCCTCTGGGGGTATCGCTTTGGTTCTGCGTGGCTGCCTGTTCCCTACCTGGTCGTGGATGTGGGGTGAGATGGCCGTGGTTGGCTTGTTTGGGGATTTTGAAGAAGTGCCGTTGGAGATTCGGCAGTGAAACTAGGAGCACGATCGGTCGCCATCGGGCATGAACAAGAGGCGGTGACGGGGTCGCGGGGGGTCACGGTCCGCCCCGCCCCGCCCCGCCCTTCCCCGCGTACGCCGGCCGCGGGGCTCCGCGCTCCGCGCTTGTTGGCCCCATGTCCACTCAGTCAGTGAGTGACTGTGTCGGACTGTGCCGGCGCACAGAGCTTCCCAAACTGGGACCCGCGTCGCAAGCGTCGCACTGACGCAGTGCTGCCGAGTCGTCGTCGTCGTGGTGGTGTAGTGCCTGACAGTGCTCGGGGTGCCTGCTGCGGTGGCCGCGGACTGGAGACTAGCAGGTGGGCGACGGAGACCGACGACGGGGAGGTGCAGCGGGATGGCCGCGGGGGTGCTGGCCGCGGCGCACTTTGATCGGCACCCTTGGCTGCCGCGCATCGGCCGCATCGGCCGCATCACAGAAACAAACATAGGCAGCCTGACTGTTTGTCCTGTTTGTCGCCTCGGCCGGCCTTACCCCTTCCCTTCACCTCGCCGCGCCGCCGTGCCGCCGTGCCGCCATGGCGACGTGCGCGGCCCGCGGCCCTCGCGACCCTCGCGGTACCTTCCTTCCATCCTTCGCCGAGGAAGGCGAAGCTCTAGGCGAAGCGAAGGCGTCACAATAAAAGTGTTGCCACCAACTCGCTACTGCCGCGCGCCGGCCAGGCCCAGGCCAGGCGAGTGTACTCGCGTGGATCGAGGTCTAGGCGCTTCCTTACTATCGGCAGTCGAAGATAGCTTAGACAGGGAGACGGAAACTCCTCTATGCAGTTTTCCTAGGCCCACGCTGCATGCAGTGGCGTTGCTGTTTTCGCTCATTGAACGTACAGTCCATAAAGACCCTTCTTGGCGCCACTGGCGACTGGCGCGGCGCGAAGTGGCCGAGGCTGTGGCCGAGGCAGTGGCCGAGGCAGTGGCCCACGACCATGACCTGGACCTGCAAGTACGTAAATATGGCATGGATCGCGACTCTGGTGCCAGGCTGGCTCGCCGGGCGGGGAGGCGGGGCGCACTCGACTACTGCATGATCCTCAAAGAAATGTTCCAAGAAAAGAAATGGAGAGTAAATTCTGATTGCGGACGCGGTGTTCTGTTTTCTCGGGTGAGTGGATCCGAGAGCTGCGCGTCTGGGGCCATGTCGCCGGGCCATCGCCGCCGCTGCGCTGCCACACTTGCGTCACCAACGAGGCCCCATCCCTAATCTCGGCGCGCCGTCATCGCAAAACGGACCAAACAGCCGGAAAAGCCGAAAACGCAGCGATGCCGCGCGACATTGTCGCTCTGGCGCAGTACATTTTCAAGGCCCGTGTCACGCGCATAATGAATGCCCGCCCACTCAGTGCAGTGCAGTACCAGTACGTAGTGCACTGGAAAATTTGGCTCTACTTTGAAAGAGGTTTAGTTGCTCCATGGCGTACACAGGAGCACGCGAGTGCGCTCTGTTACTTTGACAGATCATGACGAGATTAGCCTTCGTGCGACTAGCGGCTGGTCGGGAGAGGCGACAAGCAGGACAAGGCGGCCTACAGTGTGCCGTTTGTTGCCGCCATGTCGCCATGCTGCGTCGCGGCGTTCAGTGAACCCAGTCCGAGGCGCCGAGCGGCCGAAGGGCCGAAATCAAAACAAGCAATCGAATCATCGAATGGATGCGGCCATGCGGCGGGGGGCGGGGGCGGCGTCGCCAGCCCGGCCCCTGCCAGGGGCGGATCCAGAGAGGGGTTCAGAAAGCGGCGATGACGCAAAAGTTGCCTACTTACCGGGGCAAAGTGCGCCTTACCCTTCACTTCAGGCAGCCGCGCCGCCCTCAGGGAGAGGCGACGCCCCCATCGCCACCGTCCTGTATCCGCGCCTAGCCCTCGTCTGCCTGACGGCCTTCACGGCCTTGACGGCCACGCTGATGGGGCCTCCTTGGCCTTATCTCAGTTGCAGGCGGCTCCGTACTTCCTTCCAGTGGCGCGTGCAGGTGAGAATGTGAGGGGGCCCCCTCCTCCTGCAGCAGCCCGACGACGCCTGGACGACGCCTGGACGACGCCCCGACTTGCAACGACCCGCAGTCGCCAGTCGCAGACCGGCATGCACGACCGGTCCCTGGACAGCATGGCCAGCGACTCGTACCTGTTGAAGGCGGCGCCGGCCTCATGCCCGCAGTACCCCTGCCAGAGCCGCCCCGTCAAACCTCGGTGAGTGCAGGGCAGAGCCCGAGGCAGAGCCCGAGGCAGAGCCCCGCATCGGGAGAGAAACTTCAGGTTATCGTGATCCTAGCCCGACCATGGAGAACGCGATAGTCGAAATCAGCTCCAAATTTAGACTGTAAAATAAACCTTGTCATGCAGACATAATTTTGACTTATTTTTCTGCATGAGTGCATGAGTCCATGGACCCGCCGCTCTCGCTCGTCGAGACGCGCTCTCTGCCTGAGCCATCAAAATGGATTTCAATTTGGTGTTCCTCGAGTGTGGTGTTTGCTGCAGCCGCTCCACGTCCTGGCGCGTGGTGGTGGCGCTGGTGCTGCTGCTGGTCGCCGTCGTGGGCCTCGCCGCGCTGGCCTACCTGCAGCGGATGGAGCTGCTCGACATGCGGGCCAGCGTCGCCAACATCAAACGCGAGTTCAAAGACATCTCCACGAATCTTGAGAGGCTGCACATGTACAAGCAGTTCAAGGAGTGGAACATAACGGTGGAAGACAACGACTCCGACAGCATCTACGACACCAGCTACGAGGACGACGATGATGCTCTAGAACCGTACTATTCTGACACCGAGGACACCAACGTAGTGGAGGGCAAGGCGCGCGACTCTGGAGACGGCGCACGCGCCCCCGTCCCGAAGCTGGAGCCAGCCAGCGGCCACCACCAGCCCGTCGAGGCCACCACGACCACGAGTAGCCCCGAGCCGATAATGTTCATGGACCGGCGGCGCCGCGACGTTCGGCAGGCGGGCCGCCAAGCAGGCCGCCCTCAGCCGCAGCTCAAGCTGTACCACATGCTGCAGAATCCCGGGCTCTCCGCGGCCGCGCCTCCACCCGAGCAGCAGTGGTGAGTGGAAGTCCCAGACCTAGACATTGCGTGTAGAGTCCGGCCGCCCCGGCCACTCACCCATGGCCGTGTTGACGTTGCAGGAGCCAGTACGGCGTGCGCCACCCCCAGGACCGCCCCTACGGCCCCGGCCGGCCGCAGCCCATGTACGCGGAGCGCGCCCCCATGGCGTTCGTCCCGCCGCCGCAGCCGCCGCAGCGCCACGCCATGGGCCACGCCATGGGCCACGCCATGGACTACGCCGCCACCACCGCGGCACCCGTCGCCAGTCGAAGGTGAGGCTTCCAGTTCGAGGACCTGTTTACTGACTTTTCGGCTTGGTCTGTCGAACTGACGCTCGTGCCCGTGTCCTGCAGGTCGAGGGTGATGGACGGCGTGGGCACCTCGCCTGGTCCTGGCCAGCAGCAGCACCGCCGTCGCCACCATCACCGTCTGCAGCAGCGGCAGCAGGGTGGATTCCAGCAGCTTCAGAACCTCCAGGACGTGACCCAGGAGGTGCCGCAGAGCGGCGCGGCGCGCAGCGTGGAGGTGGGCCGCCCTCGGTGGCAGCAGCAGCAGCAGCAGCAGCAGCAGTGGCCTTCGTCCACACCGAGACCCCCGTCGTGGTCACCGACAGAGCGCGCCGGGCGTTGGCGGGACTCGTGGCAGGAACGCGCCCGCGCAACGCGGGTGACTGACACACACCAACGCTAAGGACCTGGGCTAGCTAGGCCCTGGGCTAGGCCCTGGGCTAGGCCCTGGGCGGGGTGCGCCGCCGCGGTCGCACTCCAGTTTCGCTTTAATTTCTTTTCCTATTTTCTGTTTACCCTTATTACCAACTAAAAGCACAACGAAACGCGTTGAATGCAGTTTCGATTCGAAAGACTGTTCTTCTTTTAGTTTAGGTAGGCTTACTTATTTGCTCGCTCATTGGAGCAAGATTAGGTACGGTGTCGATGTGACGTGCGATGCGTGCGATGCCAGAGTAGGGAGGTGGGAGAGGGGCGGGATTCATCGGTGTGTTAAGGCAGGCCCGAAGTAGACGACGGACGAGCAAGCACGTTAGAATGAGTGGAGAAGAGCTCCAGAATTTGGGACTCCGTGCACTTTTTGAGTGGAGTTCGTTTCCAATCTGATAAAAAAAGGCTACTTATTTATTTATGTAAATGTTTTTACTGTTGACTGTTAATTTTTTAAGCATAAACTGCATAGTGCTTTTGTTAGAAAAAAATAAAAGAGATAAAAAACTGAACGCGTGCTCTGTTTCTCGTGTGGAACCGCTTTCCCAACACACCGGTGGTTCCAACCTTCCGACCTATCCCAGGCACAACAACTGCGTCAGCTCGACACATCACATCACATCGATTTGCCATAAAACACTGCAGCATCGCTGTTCAACGCGCCAATTCGATATATTTCCGTTGTTAACACAGGGTGGCCCCCGCACCCCGAAGTAGGTCTTGGCCGGGGTGCGCGGGCCTCCAGGGGCCTCTGACGCCATCCTGGAAAGTAACGGTGTTCCTGCTCGCCACAGAGCATCGACGGCGACGTGGAGGTGGAGCAGACGTGGCGACCGTACGCCCCCGCCGTGGTCGAGGGCCCCGCCATCGCGGCGCACTTCGTGGGCGACACGGCGCGGCACCGCGGCACGCATCACTACGACGGTGGGTAGTCCTCGTAGTCCTCGAGCGCGGGAGGGAGAGATGGAGGTCCTCCCCATCTCCGTCGCACGCACGTAGATAACAGAAGGTGGGCCCCAGGGGAAGATGTTGGGTGGAAGAAACCCCCAGCCCCAGCCGAGGCTGGCCGCCGGGCGCGGGCGGCGCGGGCGGCCGCGCGAAGGGAGGAGGGCGTCAGCCGTGGAGGCGGGCCAGCCCGCACCACACCTGTGCGCAACAGGCCGGCCCGCTCGGCAGGCGTCCTCGCCCGCCCGCAGCGCCCGCCAGCCCGCCTCTCGTGCTGCCGGCGCCACCCACGGTCTCTCAAACAGTGGCGATCCACTCGTTTGTCAGGCACAAAGAGACAGACTCGAGTCGCCTGCTTTGAACATCCCGAAGGGCGAGGCTGAAGCTCTCTGTGACGCCCGTCCCTTTGCTGTGCACGCAGACAACGGGCGGCTGAAGCACCCCGCGGGGGAGTACGCGGACTGGACGGCTAGCCCTTGGGTGCGTGAGCTGGGCCTGGACCACCACTTCAAGCTCGCCTCCACCGGCTCCCACATCACGGTGGACACGCCAGGGCTGTACTTGGTGTACGCGCAGGTAACAACACCACTTACTTTGACGGAGTCCTTGATACTTTCCTCCATTGGGCGTTGTCCAACGACTTGTCTGGCGCTTGCCTGCAGGTCAACTACGCCAACGACAAGGACGAGAACGGTTTCTGGGTGTACCGCAACCAGCAGAAAGAGCTGCTGTGTGCCACGGCGGGCGCGTCCGGCCAGGACGTCCGCGCCAACACGTGCTTCACCGCGGGGGTGCTGCACTTGTTCAAGGGGGACCGCGTGTCCCTCAAGGACCTCGCCGGCGACCGCTACCGCGTGCTGGACCACCCGGGCCGGTCCTTCGTCGGCATGGTCAACTTGAGTGCCTGCAAGCTCAAGGCGGAGCAGCCGAGCCGGGCCACGGCCTAGGCCTGGGAGTCCAGTCCAGAGTCTGGACAACCTGGCTGCTGACTCAAGGAAAGGGTAACAGTGTCCGGAATGTGTCGCGTTTCGGGACAAAGTGGGCCGTTCAGAGAAAGAAAGAGAGAGGCTCAAAGAAAAATATCATTTATTGTGAGTTGGTTGGAATTTCAAGGCTTGTATTACAAGGTTTAGTAGAAGCCAAATGGAATATACTTCCGTTTTGTTAAGAACATACAATGTTTTGAACATCCATTTTTTGTAACAATCAAAGCTGTACAAAAAAGATTTTTGTTTCTTTAGTCACCTTTACACATTTCAGTTGCAAAGAGAATCTTATCAGTTTCCATGTAACATGAGCATTGACAAACTATGGTCATTGTGTAGAAGCCCTAATGGCTGAAGAAACACATTGTGAAGTACCTGCGAAATGCAGTTAAAAAATGTTGAATCAGTTCACACCTAAAGCAGGTCACTGAGATACATGCAACATAAAATAAACACTAAATATATTGAAGAGAAAAAGAAAGAAATAGAGGAATGAAAACAGCAAATAATGTGTGATCATCATTGTGTGCTGTCCAAAACATCAAATAAATGCTAATTTCTGGAAAGAGCAGATCACCTTTTAAAACCGTAGGTCAATCTGGGCTAATAAGAACCTGTTCTTAGCAACACTTTCCTACAATATAAAGAAACATGGCAATGATATGACACACACTGGTAAAATTTTAACGTGCCAGACACACTGACATTGCTTTTTATTACAGTATTAATGGAAGGGCAGCATTTTAATAAATCACCACATTTGAATAAACCAAGTCATTACCATTTTTAATTGCTGAAGACACAAGTTAATTTTGCAAATCAATTTAAACTGTCTCAAAACAAAAAAAGCAAACTAACAACATTGTGATGCTAATTCTACAACATGAAACCTTACTTAAAATTGTTGATTTCACTCTAAGGGAAGTCCTGTAATTTAGTTAACTCATATAACAATAACAAATGGTTTTATATCATTTTAACATTACTTAAACAATTGATTTTGCCAACATGCTGCTATTAACCAAATTGACACAAAAACATGTTTCACCACATAGTAGACTTGTATAAAAATAATGAATACAAATATGGTCTCAAAGTTTACTCCAAAAGATGCTACTGGGTGGCAGTGCAAATTTTAAAAGAGCTACAATTTCTCACAAAGTGAGATAAACTAGGTATGACTTTGGACGGCTTGGGATTACAAGAGGTCAGAATTGGATTTTGGACCAACTGCACATCAACCCAGTCCATAATTTTGTGATAAATATTAACCAAAAAGAGAACATCTGACCAGAAAGAAAATAACCCAAACATTATCATTGAACATCAAAAGGAAGCCCAAAACAAAAATTTGACACTTTAAGAATTTGTGTTAATGGACAGTCCTATGAAAGTGACATCAAGTAGCATTTGTGTTTGCAACAGTACAACCTAATACTGTGAGAAAGCTAAGTAACCTTAGTATCCAAACCACAAAGCCAACATGCCATCAAATATATACAAGGCATACTTAATAAATGGATGGAAAAGCTAATATACACATCATAGCTCAGTTTCTATATTCTGTCATTCAGGCTATGTTTGGTGTAGTCTGCAATAAAGGGGGTTGAACAGGCAAAATAATACAATGAAATTGAATAAACAGCAACTTGGTTGATAATTAACTATTATGGCTATAAAAACAATGAAATGTATCAGTCCATGTAACAAATCGAAAATTACTACATACACATAGTATAGTCTATGTTCAAGTAACATACCGAATGTCAAGACTGTGTAAGACTCAATACCATAAAATAAAATATGACGTTTCACATCTAAAAAATTAAGAACATTGGTCTCATAAAAATAGTGTATCAGTTACCTTAAATTCAAATTAAGGATTTCCATTATTTCTGGTCCACACAAAAGAGCAATTTGGCTAAAACTTGAAGTCACTTAAAAATTTTACCGATCATCTGGAACACAATGACCGATCATCTTTGAGTTCACAATAGAAAAAAAATGCAGTTTTACACGTAACTGACACAGCCATTTCATGCAAATGTACAAAAAATTAAACAATGAAAGCTATAAAATAGCAAGTAAGCAGTAACAATATACAAAATACAAACACAACAATGTTATAAAAACAATGAAATCAAAAAGTTCATCTAATGAGAGTACAGATTAGTTATTGAATCAAAAGCAGACCATCATAACTAATCCTGTACTTTTCACTAGGAAAAGTCACTAAAATATAAAAGCAGGAAAGTGCTTTCTTTGCAAGATAAAAATAGTGTCTCACTTTACAGGTCAATCATGGGACATGTTAACAAAATTAGGGTTGTAAAACGTGTACATTCAAAGAAAAATGAGGCATCAAAGAGAATTTAAAAAGTATAGTGAGACTTAAAAACATTGTTCAATATCACTAGGAATAAAAGAAAAATTCTTTGAAATGCTCAACTGACAAAAAGATACAATAAAGAATCACAGTTAAGTATCAGTTTACAATATGAAAAACATATACAGCTTGTCAAAGTAACAGTTTACTCAACACAAACAAGACAATAATCTTAGGAGCTAAGACTCACTGGCATAAAAACTGAATTCAAACGTCACAGGAACGTGACAGTATGTATATCACATACAAACAATGTTCACATTTTCACTCAATTATTCCTATACACATGCACACCCACACACACGAGAGCCTGGTACACTATCTCCGCTACATTTGTACTGTTAAATAACTGGTGCATTGTACTTTGTGGTGAACTTTATTTTGTGTAAGCTATAAGGTGTCTGCCAGGCTCAGGATCTTACAAAAAATCAGGGAAACAATTTGACTAGTTCCCAGAGGACTCTGGTTCCTTGCTTCCAAATTCAAACATACAAAAGGCATTTGCTTCCAAACTTTTGAACCAAGGTTTTGAATACATTAATAATAAACGTACATGTTCATTAAGTATTGGAGTTTCCCACTTCACGAGTCAGTTGACTAATCTCACTTTCTAAATCATCTGTCATAAATGAAGATGGAGCATCTTCCATGAGGCTATCCATTACTGGTTGAGTGTTGCCTGCATTTGCCATACTATTCAGTTCATTTAGGATGGGATCCGCAGAGGTAGTGATATTTGACTGCGTGGCACTTAAAGACAGCGGATCCTCAGAGCAAGAGCCAGGCCCACACTCAGGTCCAACAGATTGAAGCCGGAATGAACTGAACAGGGGATCACCTCGAAGAGTTGTTTCAGGGTCTGGTTTGTACTGCTCTGGAGTTTGTGGAAAGTCCTGAGCTGTTTGTTGACCATCAGCCTTCCCATCTTCAAACATACTGAACATTTCATTAAGAATATCAGGATTGATGCTGTCATGGGTAAGTCCATCATGCAAGTCTTGTAGACTGCTAGGAGCTGGAGCTGGCGAGGGGTGAATACCCTCACTTTCAATGCCAAAGTCCGCAACTTCACTGGGAACTGGTGTGGGAGCAACTGAGCTCCCTGGAGTGTACTGATTAAAGTTGAAGTAACATTGTTGGTTCTGAGGAGGGCCATAATGTGGAGAAGGTAAAGCTGTAGCTGGCATCGGTGAGACAGCTGTAGAATTGACCATACGCCTCAGAGGCACTGACTGAGAACGGAAGGTTGACATCCCTTGTACAGAAGACAGGTGAGGCATCATTACATCTTCCTCAGGAAATAATTCACCCATTTCATCAGAATATTTATCTGCAATTGGTTGGACTTGAGTGCCACTGTGGCAAGAAGGCAAGTCAGGTTGGTTCTTAAAATCAACTGATGGCAGGAGAAGGTTTGAACTCTCCATGTCAAATGAATGAGCTCTGCTCTCCTTTCTGAAATTAAAAACATTTTTCTTGACTGATTTAGAGTAATGTACTACAGGAGATTGGGGAGCAGACATAGAGACCTGGTATTGTGACCTTGGAACTTGGAGAGGGGGAAGAGCAGTAGTGAGATTTGAGGGATTCCATGCAGGGGAGTACACATTTCCTTGACAATCACTGGGGTTCCCTATATCTTGCAAAGCATTCACATCAGGTTTCACATCGACATTCGTATGGTGGCTATTGTCAATTGATTTCATGGAAGCGACAAATGGTCTATTATGCACAGCTTGAAAGGGGGAGAGAGCACATGTCTCACTATTAACAGACATAGATCTCATAATGGTGCGAGGCAAATTGCCCTTGTGCATAGGTTTTCCAGAATACATGGTCGCAGCACCAGACTGCATGAAGGTAGACGTAGGTTGGGTACTCATTCGCCGCGGGATGGGAGTGTTGCGAGGAGATACAAACGGGCTGGCATTGGCACTGCTGGACTTGGTTGGAGAATATGGTCTTGGAGAGATTGGAGTAAAGCTGAACCTTTGCTTTGTGTTCGGGCTTGGTGGAATGCTACTGGCTGCAGAGTCGGGATCACACGGAACCTCAAAGCTAACACGACGAGCACTGTTGTGTTGGCATGTCATCAATGTTGGAGGAATCAAGGCATGCTTTTGTTGGCTTCGTTGAGACATCAGTGACAAACTTGCTGCAGCTGATAACCCATTTTGATACTGAAGTGCTTTACCAGACGCTTCTTGATTCATATTCCTTTCAAGCAAACGACGAAGTTGGGATATCTTGTCCAGGCTGTTGGTCGAGTCTACTTGCATGGACTGTTGAACAGCACTTTGCTGTGGAAAATATTGCATTAACTCCTCCTCCTGCTCTTGGGAGTTACTTCCACCATGTAGATAATCATCAAGGGCATCTTTCTCTAGACATCCAATAATTGCATCATTTCCACCTTTCTGCACACCCACTGCTCCATTCTCATCAGAAACAACAGACGACTGTTTGGAGGGATCATCATCATTCTTCAACCCTGCAGTTTCATGCAAGTTGGGTTTTGGCTTGATCGGTTTGTATTTTTGTTTCTGGACAGGTACTGGAGACTGATGCTGTATTTGTTGTTGTTGTTGGTTACCAGCCCCAGCCATGTACGGAGATGCAAAGGGCGCATTCATATAATTTTGCATGGATTGCTTGGTAGGCTTAGGTAAGCGGGGTATAGGCAGCTTGCCATCCAGTCCTGTGTCAGGCCTCTCAGACATGAATTCTGCGCCAATGTTCGCATTTCCACCTGTTTCAGGTACCAAAGTGTCATTATACAAAGAATGAATGGCAGGACTCACATCTAAAGCACTTCCGTTGCTAAGCAGCGTGTTATTATTCTGAGCATCTGCTTGTCCATTCTTCGTGTTGGCGTATGGCACATCAGAGAAAGGTCGACCACCGGTCAAGTTATCACAATTTTGATTGGTCAAAGGAGCAACAACTTTACTTGCTGCAGAGCGTCGTCCAACAGGACCATTGGCCTCGAGAGGAGAAGAGGAGGATCTTTGCTTCGTACGCTTGCTTCGCATTTTGGTGTCAGTGTGTTTTAGGCGGGCACGCTCGGCATCGTCTTGCATCTTCCGCTTGTGGTCTCTTTCAATCGAAGAGCGAGGTGTCTCACTCGCGGGTCGAGACGGCCCAGCACTGCAGCTCGATGGGGGTCGGGTTTCACTTCCCAGAGCTGGAAGCAAGTTCATGATGGGAAAGAGCTAGGGCAAAAGAAAAAGACTAAACAAATCAGGTATACTTACAAGCAGCAGAAGACGTGGGTCTACTTGGTCCAGCCGAGCGAGGAATGGGTGGGTTCAGAGCAGAAAGAACTGTCAATGCTGCTGTAGATTGGACATTGACAGACATGCTCTGAACAAGGTGGCAAGCAAGATCTTGCAAGCTAGTAAACCGGTGACCTAAGGTCTTCCCTGCCCACTCCCGGACCAAGACTGATATAGCCACCAATAGAGTTCGCTCTGGAGATCCAACTTTTCCACCATTTATATCTTCTAGGGGAGCCTGGAATAAAGAAAAACAAAAAAACAAACAAACTATGAAACATGGTTCTTGATTTGAACCAATTGACACAGCAGGAAAGTGATTGTAAATTTGTACCTTTTCACTGGGTCCAAGATCAGGCAGCAAAGGGGGAGCAAGCCGCATCCTCTTCCTCAATCCAGCATAACAGTACCTTGAATGACCTCGAGTTCCTAGTCTACGAGGTCTAACATTGGGGTAAACTTGCTTCATAACTTTACCAAAGTCAGCAGTTGAAAGGGGTTTCACAGCATTTGCTTGACAGAAATCACTGAAACAAGCAAATCAAGTTATCAATTTGATCAGATTACTTAGTGTCTTCCACACAAGGACAGTTACTTACAGATATTGCTCATAGACATCTTGTTTAGGGAGTGATACTTCTGGGTCTTCTTGAAGATGAGTTTTAATCCATGTTATTGTATGGTGAATTTCCAGCCTGCTACCAAGAGGATTCAAATTTCTGTATGGTAGGAAAAGAAAATTAGATAATGCGCCACCCATGTCAAGAAAAGAAGAAATCTTATTATTATTATTCAAAACACTGACTGTCTTAAAGGGTCTGCAGAGCTTCTTCCATTTGGTAGTTTCAGATAAAGTAAGAGTCTTTCAATGGGCGATAACTGTCGAACCTGTGCAAGCAGGCACTCCACTGTATGCTTAGATTCCATGCTGTAGACAGATTAAATAATAAATAATGTTAAAAAAGTAAAAATGGACAAAATTTTTTTCTTGTTGAGTTTAGTGTTAAAGAAAGCTTGCTATTGGTTGATATCATAACAGCTACTAAAAAAAGCAACTTAAGCTGGCTATATCAAGTTAAGGAAATTCACAATTCACAGATAGGGGGAGGGGTGAGGTGCAGAACTGTGAATTGTGGAGACTCCCCGGCTCACCCCTGGTCCTGTCTGTGTATTGAGAATTTCCTTAATTTCCATAATTCAAGGATGCACCATCGCATCATTTTGGCAGTAATTAAATTAAATAACAAAATACAATGTTGAAATGAGAAGTAAATTTGACAGTTTTCATCTTAACAATGTAGGAGAGCACAAGGGAAACACAAACATCTACTCTCACATATTTCTTTTGCTAAGAATCAATGGAATTAGGATATCAGTTGAACACACTTTGAATGAGTTCAACAAGATATAATAAGCACTGGTATTTGCAAAACGATTATGTACGTAGTTTTATGGAGTGAAACAAGAAGCACAACTTGAGAAGCTAGGACATTCCATATGCATATGGAAATGTGAATACTGAATGTGATGAGTGAACACAGTGGCCTTGACAAGGAAGATCATGTTAACAACGATCATGTAGCATCACATAACGGAGAAATATGAAAGAAAAGAAGGATGCGCGATCAGTGATGAGGTCACATAACACATTTTGTACATTCTTTTTACCTGACGGCCTTTTCCACCGTATCTTGAATCATGGTGGTTCTGTCACTTTCGTTGAGATCCCGGAGGTTGAGAAGTCGCCGATCGCCTTTCATGCTGGAACTATCCATTTCGCATTTCATGTTCGTAACTTCATGCATATCGGTCGTTGAAATGTGGCTGCCTGCAGCTGACGCTTTTTTGTTCAAAATCTCCATACCGATACAGGGACAATGTTCCGAAAAAAATTAATCTTCTGTCCCCGAAGACACTGTAAGTACCCCACCATTTTCTCATACCAATCAGCTGGGCAAGAAACGCTGTTGCCAAGGTTCAGAATCCTATTACAAAACATATCAACAAAAACATAAACTAAAAGTATAAAGAAGAGAGTTTACTCAAGTGATTGGACTCAGATTTTTAAGAAAACTTTTTATCTTTTGAATTCGCTATTGTGAATAGGAAAGAATTAGTATGTGGCTTCATAAGACGCATCCAAAGAATGTCACAGAGTGCTTGTGTTGGTAACATGTTTCGCCCGACGGTAATCTGGCAACACGGTAACTTGGGTGTGTTCAGATTTCCTCCGTTATCTTTTTCATCCAAAAATAGTTTCTCCTGTTAGTGTATTTCCATATTGTTTCTTCGGAATTGGAATCTACCTGGTCAAGTTTCCACTCATCACATCTCATTAGATGATGGCTGCCTAGTAGTGTCCCCACGCGACCCTAAATATGTTCTCGACTGCACACGTCACGTGTCGTCTGCTGTCATCTTCCTGCATATAGTTCCACGGCATGTTGCGTGTTTGTATACACATTATTTGCAGCTAAGCCGGAGGAGCACACCATGCGCTTAAACTAGGTTAAGTTTGTGCTTTAATCCTGTATATTTCTGTCCTGTATAGCAGTAATCGGCTGATTTGATATGGGTCGTCCAAAGGCAGCTCAAAAGGACAAGAGAGCCGAAAAGGCCAAAGTGAAACTAAAGGGTCACACCACTAAATTCCTGCCTAAAGGTTTGAATGTGACTAAAACCGCTTTCAAAGTGCGAAAGATAGTCTTGCAACAGCAGATAAAGACACACGATGGAGACCAGCCTTTATCCAAAAGGAAGCTTAACATCAAGGTACTTTGCTGTTTAGTTTGAGTGCTTGCGAAATTTTATCCTTTGTTTTCTTATGTTACTGTCTTACGATTGGGTTTACAGGAGGTACTGTCAAGACTTCAACATTACAGTGCATCACAGAGGCAAGAGGGGCTGGTTGGACTTACGGATGTCATTAGTCAGATGAATATGGAACAGCTTCTATCTCATCTGTCATCCATTATTGATAGTCTAGGAAGAATGTGCCTTGATGACGATTCTAAAGTCAGAAAACAGAGTGCACACATCCTCACTTCTGTCTTTTCACTGGTTTGTCAGCTCTTGCCTGGATTAACTTAAATTATGAACTGAAAAAATTATTCAATGTTTTCCACATTTTTGTAATTTTTGTCAATTTTCAGGTGAATGAGACTCAACTCCTCCCATTTTGCGCAACTTTGGGGTCCTACCTCAGTTGCGCCATGACTCATATTAAACTTGGCGTGCAAGAAGATTCTCTGCTTCTTCTCGATGCTCTGCTGGAAAAGGCTCCAGCTTTAGCTGCTACATCTGTTCATCAGTTATTACCTTGTGTGTTGGACATGATATCACGTTCAAGGTGACTCATAAGCATATGTTGTGTGCTAAGATTTTGTTTCACCTTATTAACTTCATTTTTGATTTATTTTGTCAGAAGTGATCATGCAACCCGTCAGCTTTCCATTCAGCTGTCTAGCAACCTTGTATCTTCAATTTGGAGAGCCAAGGTGTTTGGACGACTTCAAGCTCTCCTTGTTGTCTCTATATCACACCGAAAAGAAACAGGTATTGAAGTTACTGTACCCTTGGAGGATATTTAAAACTCAAAGCACTAGCCTACAAATCAATTTAAATAATAATTACAATAATGCATATTGTGCTTCTGATTTCCTTTGTCAACTTGATAATTACCGATTTCATCCCAGGTTCTCAAGATACAATAATATTGAATAGAGCTTATCATACAGCCTCAACCTTAACAGTCGACTCTAAAAAGCAATTCAATTTCCCCATTTATAATAACATAAACTCTGTCCCAGTTTCTTTAAACAAAATATTCCGCAAGTGAGTAAGGAAGTCTTTTTACTTTTAGGGGCCAATGTTTCATTAGAAAACCAGAATCTCACAGTCTCTTTCTCCTAGGTCTTCTGTCACTACCAAGCAACTCTTGGATGATGTAACTCAACTGCGTGGATTTGTTGAGTCTATAATGCCTCTCATGCTGGATTCATGGATGGAAGTTAATCCCATTTCTTCTAAGAAATCAAATCTGAAGACAGAAGGTATTGTGGTTTCTCATTTATAATAATCAATAATTGGCAAAAATATTCTAAAGGCCATAGTTTTGTTGTGGATGCATTGCATGATGAAAAGTGTCTTCATAGTATATCATGTGTTGCAGATCAAGGGCTTCAGGTGGAAACTGCGTTAATTTTACATTGTGTTTTGGAAATAATAGAACTGCTGTGGCAGCATATTATTTTATGGGACAAGAACAATGCACAGCATGAATTGGTAATTAACTTGTAAATTGTGCCACTCTTGGGATTCCATCTTATTTGTTCCTGCCTTCATCATACATGTCTTATTTTGTTTTCTCAGTCAGATTGGTTCAAGGCAACATTTGTGCATGATATAAATAGATTTTTAGGGAAAGGATTTCCATATTCTGCTAGAGCTACTTTCTCTATTGATGATTTAGAAGATGAAAGTCAAGGAGAAGGACGAAAGAAAAACAAGAAAAATGATGAAAGTAGTGCGGAGATATCATTATTTCATTTAGCTTCTCCTTCTCTACTCAAGGATAAAGATGAGCTCTCTTGCACTCAAGGAATAGCTAAATGTGTTCTACAGAACTTGACATTGAGTCATCTGCTTTTAAATATAAACAATACGCCTTCAAAAGAAGTGCAGGAGAAAATTCTTAATATGCTAACAGGTAATTATTTTTAAGTACTTCTGCTCACTACTTATACATACTTTTGTTGTGGTTAACCAAAGTACTGTAAACATTAAAAAAAAAAACTTTACAGAATATTTAAATCAGTGGGGAGGTAGCCTATTAGCCTGGTCAGACCATCTTTTTAGAACTATTCGAAGTGTCTTTGATAGAAGCAGTACGTGGAAGGTTGATTTAAATCCCTTTATATCGGCTGTGGTTTCTCGCCATAACCGGTCTGCATCTAAAAAACAGGCTTCTCACCAGAAGTTTGCTTCAAAGTTATGTGATCTACTTGTTGAACTATCTGTACATGAAAACTTCCAGCAACTCCTTGGGTAAAGCATTTAAATTGAAAATTGGTGATTTTACCCTGTTTTTCCTGTTAACTCACTCATGGGATTTCTCATAATTTCTCTCACACTATTCAGGTTTGAAAGTTTTAGATTATGGTTTTCACAACTAGCTCCTTCTTTGAGTAATGGCAATGTGACAATTGACAAACTATGTGTCTTAAATCAATTGGCTAGTCAAAACAACGCTGCCTTTCTTCAAGGGTTTCAGACTGCTTTTACATCTTTATTAGGTATGCTCTTGTAGAATTAGCACACAGCTCTGCTTTTGTCTTAATACATGGTCAATCTAATCTCTCATTGTTATTTAATGGTCAGATGCTGCCAAAAATTTCCAACTTGCTGAAGGTGAAAATAAAAGTGTGAAGGAAGCTGGAATTGCAAGCTTGTTTTTCTGGGTATCTGATTGGAATGGTGAACAGATTGAAGCTTTGAAGACTATATTAGTTAGTGACAATTGTTCTCCTTCCCTTGCTTTGAAAATAATCAACATTTTATTACTCAGGTAGATTACAAATATTGTTTTTCTATTCCTCTAATTGTTTGGCTGTCTGTATTTTAAAATAACACAAATCTTGCTTCTAGGAGTGAAAAGTTCCCTGCATTGGCTGCTGCTTCTTCCTGGCTGGTTGGTCGAAAGTGACAAGCATCTTTACTCACGAATTATACCGCTCATGTTTAGAACTATCCCTCTTTTATGAGTATCTTGATAATAATCAAATTCTTTTCTTTCTTTGTTTTGTTTGATATGATGATGCCTGCAATCAAATACGAGCATCCTTAAATGAACTTTGTAAAATTGCGACTTGAAGTCAAAGAACAGCATTCATTAATGAACTTTGTAAAATTGTGACTTGAATCATGGGAAATATATTATGGTTTTTATGGATTACATGTCACTTATCTGCCTTTGAGTAGTCCCTAGACGTCAATTAATTGAATACATGGTACAATTTCTTTCATTTACCTTACTCCACACCGGAGGTTCCTCCATGATTCAAAAATGAATCTATGATAAACCTAAATGACTTCTGGCAGGGCTTTCACACCATTGAAAAGAGGGAAGTCAACGGGGGAGTTTCAGGGAGTTCCCCTTCGGATTGGGTAGCTTTTCCCGCCATCAATCCCACCGCCTTGCCACGAATTACCACGAATGGATCTTTTCCATCCAGCACATATCTCCCCTCTGCCCTTGCAATCGTGTAGGATTGTGGGTCGATCATGGCGGATCGCATCTGTTCGGCTCGCTAAGATTTAGATTTCTTTAATCTTCTTGTAAACTAGAAATTATCTCTTAATTCTTTGTGTATTTGTTTTGAAAGACGAGTTAAGGCTTCACAAATGCTGAAACAGTTGCAAATGGGCCTTCGTGCGTTCTTATTACTCGCTTCTCGAGTGTGGACTTGTATTTGTTATTTGCTTAAGAAGCAGGTTAGAGCAGTGAGTACCCTACACAAAGTCATTACTACCCTCTAAGCAGCTGAACCTTGACGGTTAAGCTACTAGTTTATTTAGTTATTAGTTTCTTTTAATTCCAATGTTCAGTGCTCGCATTTTGTGAAATCTCGGACTTAAAGCGCTTCTGTAGACTGGCCATTTCATTTTCTTCCAATCCACTTGATAGCTCACATCAACATAAACAAACTTAACACATAATTGCCCATCAACTCCTTCCTTTAACAAGTCCGACTTGTTTTCACTGTCCATTTTATTCTTCGGCATATAGACTCTCCCTTCTTTTGTATCTGTGCTGATGCATAACCTCCAATCCTGACAATCTGTTATATCATTTTGGACTGTGAGCCAAAATGGTTCATTCATACCTTAACTAATCCTTAATATCACTGATGAAGTATGTAAACAAGTGGAATATTGTTCTTCTTTACTGCCAGCATCCTTTTTAGCTGTTTATCCTCATCGTTGTTAGAAACTGTTTCTTTTTGAAGGTGATGCACAGTGAATGTCAAGTTTGACACTCAGGTGTGGCATCCCCTTGACTAAGAGCTGTCACTAATTTTAAATTCAACTTTTTCTTTGATCTTGTTTTAATATCCTTGTTAATGTTGCTTTCAGTTTGTCCAACATCAACCTGTAAAATATGAAATATATCCATTGTCACCACTATCAAGACACAGGCTAAGTAAGCACATCCGTTTTGTGTTCTAATTGAAATTTTCTCATAAACCAAACTGCACTACCGATCATTTTGATCCAATTCATTAACCGTTCGATTATTTTTTTCCAGACATTGTCAAACGCAAAGTGCTTGTTCTGGATTTGGATGAGACCCTCATACACTCTCACCATGATGGGGTTGTGCGGCAGACTGTCAAACCAGGAACTCCACCTGACTTTGTTTTGAAGGTCACCATTGATAGGCAACCTGTGAGGTTTTTCGTCCACAAACGACCGCACGTTGATTTCTTCCTTGACATAGTGAGTTCTTTATCGCAGAACCTGCAGGAAATTTTATGTCAATGCTGTTTACTTACAACTCTTTGTTTCAGGTTTCCCAGTGGTATGAGCTGGTTGTGTTCACAGCAAGCATGGAAATATATGGAGCTGCTGTGGCTGACAAACTTGATAATAGAAGAGGGATCCTGCGAAGACGCTTTTATCGCCAACACTGCACTCTAGATTGTGGGTCTTACACAAAGGACCTGTCAGCAATTTGCAATGACCTGTCTTCTGTGTTCATCTTGGACAACTCTCCTGGAGCCTACCGTGCCTACCCAGGCATGTAATTTTCCTTTTTGTCCAATTTTAATTTCAATGTCCTCACCATTAACATGATTTTCATTCAACCTTTTCAGACAATGCAATTCCAATCAAGTCGTGGTTTTCGGATCCCATGGACACAGCTCTCCTCAACCTTCTGCCTGTGCTTGATGCATTGCGATTTACTCAAGATGTGAGATCTGTATTGTCTCGAAATTTGCATCTTCATCGTGTTTGGTAGTAGCTTAGGTCTATTTGTTTGTCCTTAATTTATTTCTGAAAGATTGCTCTGCTTGTGTGCACATTGAGTGGTATGAAATGTCAGTTTTAGAAGGAAAGGGACAGCTGTCACCTTTGGTGTAGGCTTTTAGTGAGTGAATTTGGATTGAGTGGTTTGAACAAATTTGTTAAAATATTCTAAGAGGAGGAATGGAAAAGCCACAAATGTACAATGACCTTAACAATAATTCTTATCAGTTCAATTGAGAGCTGTGTCCCTGACCTGTAGTGTTTGCATACTAGAAAATACGAATTTTCATAACAAGCATTACAATAATGTGCTATTGTCCTAGATTCCTTAATGACTGCCAGAGGAAAATATGATGGCACAAATGTATTGACAATGTTGTATATTATTCAGGCAGTGCTCCTCTTTCATTCATGTAGTACCTTATAAGTATGCTAAGTTCTCTGTCATATGATACTTATAAGTATTTTAAGTCTGAACATACTATGTGAAGTTTGTTACTGATGCACTCCCAAGTCATCTTCCATGAGTCATCAGCAGTTGAGATCATTTTAGGTCTCTGTTCAGTCCCTCCTCATGATTTTCCCTCTGTTTTAATGGTAATTTGGAAACTTAGACTTGAGTCAATCAAAGCGGTCTTTTTCCAGTAACTTTTTGGAGTTAAAAAAAAAGAAAAAAAAAAAGACTCCCAGTGACACCTTCTCTCTTGCCCTTTGAAAGTTTCTTCCTTCAGTTTGAAAATTTTTTGTTTTTCAGGTGTCCATTTATTATCAATTGCAAAGTTTGTTTTATTGACAGTATATTTGTCAAAATATATTTGTTTTTATTTTTCCTATCTGTACTGTTTTAAATGATTTCAAAATCTAACAGTAGTTAGACTTGATGCCATTTATGGCTTGTACCATGCCTTTGTTCTATTCTTGAAGTTTCGGGTTAAAATTTTGAAACTTGCTGCTCAGTAATTTTGAGCTATCTGGGAAATATGATGAATCAATCGTATTGTGTCACTTCACAGGATTTTCTTTTATTTTGAAGGGTTGAAGTGTAGTGTATGGGGGCAAAAGTGGATCAAGGTTAATATTTGGGAGTAGTTCTCTATCTGTATATTTTAATACCTAAGAGTTGTAATTGTTCCCTGGTGACTAGTCGACAGTGTCCTGTTCTATACACTAAAAATGTCTTGTACATCTGTTATAATATTCTACCATTTACTTAAAACTGAGAGAATTTACTAGCCTGTGATAAGATTAATACAGGAAGTACTCACCTTCTTTTCATGTGTAGTATCAACTCTAATATTATTATCATGAAATTTTGTCTCATTTTCGTTTTTGTGGTCATCATCATCTTCAACCTTCTTCCTCTCATTGAATCCCTAAATTTTACGGACAGCATCTGTTCTTTTAGTAAGACTTTTTATGATGATCCCCTATGTATGTTTGTTTTGTGTGCAAGGTTTAGGTTTGTATCTGTGTGAATGTGTTTGTGTGAATGTTAACTTGTGTAAATGAGTTGTGATGAGGGTAGTTTACTTCAAGCCTTACCATCTTCTTTGTAACTGTATCATTATTTTGTGATGACTATTTTTATGGCCATGATTGTTAAGGTTTTGTTGTATTTTGTTTGTATATCTGTTAAAGCTTAGTGCTGTGATGAGGCGGGATATTTTTTTAACAAGATCTCACCACTTAGCTGGAAATCCTGTTGCTATTTTCAGCAGAAAAAGTGATTCTTTTTTTTTCTATTTTATGTTTCAATGTTTTTGCTTATGTGGGTCACTCCAGGTAGTCACGTTCAGAGCTTGTTTTCCTGAAGACTGGATGTGAAATGTTTGTCAACTTTCAAATGACACTGCACTCCCCAGTCGGTCATCATGTTAAGCACTTCATTCTTCAGGTGGAACTTCAAAAACTTATATTAGCGATGAGAAATTTTGATGAAATGGCGCTGTTATAATCATGGCGGAGGAACCCACAAATGCATTAATATAATTTAGGTAATGTTTTGTTGCTGTTTAAATGCAATTAAAAAAAAAAAAATACATTTGAAATGCTGCAAAGGGCATTGTGTTCAGAGCATTTGATGAGGATGACACAATATCAATACAATCTGATCTGTCACTCACCTTTGCCAAAAAGTCCTTACACTGAGAAATCCTGTATGGTTAGAAGGGCCTCCAAATCAACTTCGATTCAGAAGTATGTTGATTAAAGCTAGGATTCTCTCCAAAAATAAACCAAATCTAAAATGTCATTTGTATTTGATCTGCTTTCCAATTCTTGTTTCATGCAACACTGTAAATCAATTGGGAACCTAAATTAAAAACAAAAACACAGATTTAGAGATAAATCATATACAGTTGCATTGTTTCATCGGAAACTTTGGTTTAAATTGGTTTTGGTTGTCAAACTAAGTGCTTCCAACATTTGCTGCCTTCATTATGTTCCTAGCATTGACAGTAATATCCTCTCTGATCAGACTTCTCCAGCAAATTTATGACCAAAGTTATTGCATACCTTGACTAAGAAAATGCCCACATTTATGACGGACTTTCCTTCTTGTCCAATCTTTGCTGGAACCTTACCTCAGCAGTAGTTATGTACATTTTCTTAGTGAAAGCATTTGTTTTCAAGTGGGCTACACTTTCAGGTCTGTGATTCTCTGTATTATGTTTAGATTTTTTTCTTTGTTTCTTTAGTTTGTTCTCTGGTTTATTGGTGTCAGTAACATTAATCCAAATTCAAAACAAAATTTGGAAAGATATTTTAAAGTTTTAAACAAGAGGGGAAAATAACAATATTTTGCTGCTCTTTGGTTTGAGTGCCAAGTACCACTCAATGGACATTTTTCACTCAGTCAGATGTCAGACTGACCTGAATTGGGCATGGCATGTAATAATGTTATTCAATTTTAGGGGAATTGTTTTACTTCCCAATTGAACTCACTTTTACTGTTCATTCATTTTCTTGACCCTTTTGTCTATAACAGAGTGATTGTCAATTTTTTATGTGTTTGTATATGGTAAGGTGCCCTTTTCATCATGTATGGGTGCTTGAATCCCAAACCAGTACCTGCTTTGTTTTTGAAACCACATTAAAGGTAGATGAATGTAAGAGCTTGGGTGCATTCTTGGCTCTCAACAAGTGACGAATTTATCAATTGTGCAGGCAGTGTGACTATATGATCCTCAGCATTGATCATTTAGCCTACTTATTTAATAGACATCATTTCAACAAAACTTTTTAAAAAAAAAAATAAATTAAAATGAGTAGTACCTGTTGTGAATTTTAATGCTTTTGAAAATGGTTAGGAGAAGGGATTCCTGTTGAGTGTGATGCTAATTTCTGCATCAGAATTATCATGACACATTCATTGAAGGTGCAGTATTTGCAAAATCTTTGTTTCATCTGTCATTGTATGATGTTCCTAATAAATGAGGAAAGTATATTTCATGAGTCTTGTTCAAAACACCCCTGCTTTATTTAGTTCCATAATTCACACTAGGTTCACACCTCAAATTTGAATAATGTAACTTCATTAAATTGATCAATTTTCAGAGGGGACCGTGTGGCATTAAAGAAAGGAATTGAGCACAGGACTGTTGAAACAGTAAAATTGGAAGTACCATAATGGCAATAGGTTTCACATTTTTAACACAGGCAAGTAATTGCAAAAAACAACTACCAAATACAAGAATTATTCAACAATACCACCCTCACCAGCTTTGAATTAATTCATAGGAATGCAATTTATCACTTTACAAAAATATATAAAACAGCTGGAGTGATTAGATAAATACAGTTACACTGAGAAACAAATCCTACAACTGGCTTAAACACGTTGATTTATGCTTTGATCAAGGGATTAAATAAGAACTTAAAATGGTTAAAACTTGATTTCAACACAACAATATTTTACATTTCATGTAAATTACCCTCACCATAAAAGTCTTGGAGAAATTAAAATTTGAACCAACAATGAGCTTAGTATTAGTTGATTCATGTGACTAGTTACTAGAAAAAAATGGAACATGATTTTATAAAAATATAAACAGTGTTACTACTTTGGTGAAATAGGTAGGCTTCACGTTTGATATACATGTAGATTTTTGCTTTCACTCAGGCACCACCTCTGACATCAGGGCACTGCCATTAGATGTTGAACTGAGTGAACTTCCATTAGTGTCACTTTCATTGAGGAGATTATCTTCATTGGCAGCTGTACTATGGCCATTGACATCTGATGAATCCATAGAAAGTGACTTACTTGCCCCTTGTGAAACCTTGTTGCCATTCTGCTCCTGATCTTCCTGAGAACTATTTCTCTGCTCAGTACTCATCTGCCATGCTGGAATAGTTGGTTTCACATTTAGGCCAGTCCTTAGTGTAGCAGTGGTGGGAGCACTTGGAAACTGTTGTCTGCAAGAAAAACATTGAGATTTGCGAACATTAGTTTTCAATGAACTTCAATCGAGTCTGTGTCAGGAGTCTTTGACAAACCTGTTTTCAAAATAAAACAGTACCTGTTCAAAAGAAGTCCTTTAACTGTTGCAATGTCAGATTTGATTTCTGCCAAAGTTCGAACAGCACCTGATTCACGTTCATGTGATATGCGGCTCAGCTCGGACCGGAGTTCTGACCTCAACTCACTAGTGCTACGACTGACGTTGGTAACAGCTTCCTCGATTGATGAAAGGCTTTCCTCAGCAGATTTCTTTGGTTTAGGGCGGCCGAACAGGAAAGGTTCGATGTAAGACTGCAATTTAAAACATAAAATTCATAAAGAAAATTCTTGATTAAATCAACCTATGAACATATCAGGTTTTCACATTACCTTATAAATCCAATAGATGACATATCCAAAGCCTCCAAGAAGAGCAAGAGTGTGCATGAAATCTCTGAGGCGAATCCATACACTTGATTGTTGTGGGACCACAACATGTTGAGGAACACCATACATAGGAATGACAGACCCCTACAAACAAAAAGTCAATCACTTTGTGCCCCAAAGAAGAAATGGTGGCATCTTGTTCGCAGGAGCATTCATCATACCTGACTTTGATGGGGAACAGAAACTTGAACATTGGAACGCTCACATGATATGCGTATTTCTTCATCCGTCATACCCTTGCTTTTTAAAAACGACTGCTTCTGATGAAAAGGCCGATCCACCACATTGGGGTTAGTAAGAAACCGGATGGCAGTATCTATCTAAAAGAACAGAATAAGTCAAAGCTGCTATTAGTTTTCAAAGTAAACTAAAAACAAGGTCTGATTAAGTGGGTTTCAATGTTTCTTACTAAAGCTTCACGAGGCAATGACTCCGCTGCAGGAATTCCCGATTCAGATGTTGCCATTATTATAGAGTTTCTTTTTAACAACGAAACAACAAATATACACTTAACAAATTAATATCTAGTTTGAAAGTAAACAACTAAGAACAAAGAGACGACAATGCAGGAATATTGCCCGCACAATAGATAGAGAAACTGAGTCACCGGCCGGTACTCGACTAGCATCCCAATGAACTATGTCGAGTCACGGTGTTCAACTAATGTCTGTGAGCTCTCCGTTTTAGTTTCGGGTTTCGCAAGTTTCGACGATACTTCTTTACAGCATTCGTTTTATTTTGGTCAGCATTAACACACGCACACTAACACACTCACACATACACAAAGGTATGAGAAACTCGTTGCCAACCACAACTGCGTGAATATGATAAATCGCTCAGGACGCTTCATGCATGTCTTCACATGTCTTCTTGCTGAGGTAGGCATCCCAACAGACACACAAGTCGAGCGTGTGGTCATCTCCATGGGGTGGTTTACACTCCGCTGTGTACAGGCGTTGGGGCAGTTCCGGGAGAGGAAGGAAGAAGGGAAGTGGAGTAAGCTTATTTCACGATTATTCATCTCTTCTTGTTGGAGTTTAAACTCGCAAAGATCGTTAGGGGATGGGGAGGCTGGGGAGGAGTGAATGATATGAAAAATGAATTTATTGTACTTGTTTTTATATTTATTTATTAATCCTTAAAAGTAATGGACAGCGGCACCAAAGATGACACACGATGGAAGACTGGGCATGATGTTTTAGTTGAGTTCCCGCGACGTTTAAGGGCATCGTCTTTGTCAGAGATTCTGCTCTCGGATTTCACGATCGCACCCCAAGACTCAACCGACTCAACCGTCCCTTCCCTTCTCCCTCCCTTCGCGTCGTACTCGTCTGATTGCAGTGTGGTTGCAGTGGTCGAAATGGTCTCACAGGAGGTTGGCAGCCAGCGCCAGTAGAAGCAGGGAGGCCGACGCTGCCGCCGTCGTGGCCGCCGAAGATGGCCTTTCCTCCTCCCACAGGGGGATCCGCCCCGTCCGGGCCAGCTCGATCCAGAACTGCGACGAGTCCTTCTGGGAGCGCTCCAGGGAGCCACCCTCGTAGTCGACGTGGATCAGCCCGAACGGCCGGCTGCACAGACATAGCCGAATTTTAATTTCATTTTTTCAAGGTCAACATCAGTGTCTCACGAGGCCCGCTGAGCTCGCATCGTACCCGAATCCGGCACTCCACTCGAAACTGTCGATCAAACTCCACGTGCAGTAGCCGATCACCTTGATGCTATACTCTTTCATCGTTGATACCAGGGTGCGCAGGAAAGCCTGAATTTTGAGTGAGGAAAGACAATGATTACACTTAGGAGATAGGCGCGGCTTATCCCACTCCACCACCGGCCCGGTACTTACACTGTGGTAAACGCCGCGAGTGCGGTCCTTCTTGCCCAGGTTCGAAATGTCGCCGTAGCCGTTTTCGGAGATGAGCACCGGCATTTTGTATTCGTTCCAAGTCCACAGCACCGCCGACCGAATTGCGTCGGGCTCGACCTGCAAAGAAGGCATCCGCATGACTCTCGGGCTGAGGGCTCTGGCTGGCCTTGGGTGCCTTGGGCCCGAAGGGAGGAAGGGAAGGGGCTGGAAGGAATGGAAGGGACAACCCATTAAAGTTTTCGCTCGCGCCTCGCGCATTGATACCAACCACACTGAACATGCTCATCATGTGCTGCAGGTCGACGCCCTCGATCATCACGAAGACGAACGGAACGTCCGACATGAAGGGGCCGATGACGGGGATGTGGATGAAGGGGTTGAAGCTGGAGGTGGAGTAGCTAGCGATCATCCCGTAGTACGCGTTGATGGCGATAAAGTCTGCGGTGCCTGAGACGTGCAAAGAAACAAAAACACGAGGTGAATCATTGCGCGCCTCGCACAAGTGTCCGCCGTAGTGGCTTCTTGCTCCCACCTGTGATTCGTTGCCTCTCCGCCTCGGTGAACGGCACAAACTGCTTGGTCGCGTGCGCCTTCACGATCTGCAACCCGGCCACATGCCACTACGTTAGCTTCCGTCGCTCTCTGCCTCTCTCGTACTCAAACGGAGGCCCCCATGTGAGTGCGGAAGAGACCAGAAGCTTGCGGGGTAGCGGTGTTCCCGCCTTCGCGTACCTCTGGGTAGTCGCCGTGGATGATCGGGCTGAGGACGACGCCGGCGGACACCTGGTTGAAGGCGTCGGCGGCGTACACGTCCTCGGGGCGGGTGGAGTTGGGCCGCGCCGTCATGAGCAAGGCCGAGCAGCCCACCTGGCCTGCAAGCCGCGAAGCCGCACCACGATCCGTTACACCAAGCCACTTATCGTCGAACAACCGTCAGCTTACGCTAGGTGCGTACCCTCGTAACCGGCGTCTTTGAAGATGTGGTAGGCCTCGGCGTGGGCCAGGAGGGAGACGCGAATGCACGCGTAGTGGTCCATGTCAGCGTCGGTGTAGATGCCGGCCTCCTTGAACAGGCTGGGGAAGTACGTGCAGTACATGTTGGGCTCGTTGATGGTGATCCACATCTTGACCTGCAACATCACAGAGTTCAAACCACACGCCGTGTTTGGGCGGTACGGATTTCCCAGCCTCCTCTCCTCTCCCGTCCTTCCCCCAGACCGAGTCTATGTAGCTTGACCCACCTCAAAGTTGACCTACCTATATATTAATTAATAAAAATATTAATATAAATATTAGAATATAAATATGGGAATATAAATAGGAGTAATATAAATATTACCAAAAAAAGTTGACCCACCCCACAGTTGACCTACCCTATATTTTTGACTTGAGCGACGAAGCGCGACGGCCTCGCGGCAGGGGAAGCGCGACGGCCTCGCAGCAGGCGAAGCGCGACGGCCTCGCGGCAGGGGAAGCGCGACGGCCTCGCGGCAGGGAAAGCGCGACGGCCTCGCGGCAGGGGAAGCGCGACGGCCTCGCGGCAGGGAAAGCGCGACGGCCTCGCGGCAGGGGAAGCGCGACAGTGTCGCGGCAGGGGAAGCGCGACGGCCTCGCGGCAGGGGAAGCGCGACGGCCTCGCGGCAGGGGAAGCGCGACAGTGTCGCGGCAAGGGAAGCGCGACGGCCTCGCAGCAGGGGAAGCGCGACGGCCTCGCGGCAGGGGAAGCGCGACAGTGTCGCGGCAGGGGAAGCGCGACGGCCTCGCGGCAGGGGAAGCGCGACGGCCTCGCGGCAGGGGAAGCGCGACAGTGTCGCGGCAAGGGAAGCGCGACGGCCTCGCAGCAGGGGAAGCGCGACGGCCTCGCGGCAGGGGAAGCGCGACGGCCTCTCGGCAGGGGAAGCGCGACGGCCTCGCGGCAGGGGAAGCGCGACAGTGTCGCGGCAGGGGAAGCGCGACGGCCTCGCGGCAGGGGAAGCGCGACAGTGTCGCGGCAGGGGAAGCGCGACAGTGTCGCGGCAGGGGAAGCGCGACGGCCTCGCGGCAGGGGAAGCGCGACAGTGTCGCGGCAGGGGAAGCGCGACGGCCTCGCGGCAGGGGAAGCGCGACAGTGTCGCGGCAGGGGAAGCGCGACAGTGTCGCAGCAGGGGAAGCGCGACGGCCTCGCGGCAGGGGAAGCGCGACAGTGTCGCGCAGGGGAAGCGCGACGGCCTCGCGGCAGGGGAAGCGCGACAGTGTCGCGGCAGGGGAAGGGCGACGGCCTCGCGGCAGGGGAAGCGCGACAGTGTCGCGGCAGGGGAAGGGCGACGGCCTCGCGGCAGGGGAAGCGCGACAGTGTCGCGGCAGGGGAAGCGCGACGGCCTCGCGGCAGGGGAAGCGCGACAGTGTCGCGGCAGGGGAAGCGCGACGGCCTCGCGGCAGGGGAAGCGCGACAGTGTCGCGGCAAGGGAAGCGCGACGGCCTCGCAGCAGGGGAAGCGCGACGGCCTCGCGGCAGGGGAAGCGCGACAGTGTCGCGGCAGGGGAAGCGCGATGACGTCGCGGTAGGTGAAGCGTGACAGTGTTCCAGTGACAGTAGACGATACTTCAAAAAAATTTATAATAAGAATATTGGGTAGGTCAACTGTGGGGTAGGTCAACCTTTTTTTGTTAATATTTATAACACTATTATTTATAGTCCCATATTTTTATTCAAATATTTATATTAATATTTTTATTAATAAATATATTGGTAGGTCAACTGTGAGGTAGGTCTAATGAACAGCCCCGCCCAGACCCTCGACATACCTTGCTTCCGTACTCCTTGAAGGCGAGGCTGGCGTACGTCTTGAAGTAGTCGATCATCTTGTCGCTCTGCCAGCCCTTAAACTGGTCCTCCAGGACCCACGGGTGGTCGAAGTGGTACAGTGTCACCAGGGGCACCATGTTGTGCTTGAGGACCTCGTCGATGAGGTCGTGGTAGTACTGGATGCCCTTCTCGTTGCGCGCGACGCCGTCGGGAAGCACTCGGGACCACGAAATGGAGAGGCGGTACAACTTGAGCTGGAATCGCATCGTCGCGTCAGTATGGCAGACTATTTTGGCGGTGCGCGCGAAACGCGAAACGCAAAACGCACCCCGAGTTCGGCCGCGGCCTTGACGTCATCCTTGTAGCGGCGGTACGAGTTGGCCGCCACGTCGTGCTGGTGCGAGTCGTTGCTGAAGCCCAGTTTAGTGAGCTTGCCCGTGTGCAGGACGTGGTCCGCGGCGCTCTCACCCTTCCCTGCACCGAGCCCAACCCAAAAACACGTCGTCCGTCAGCAAAGACCGCGGTCAAATCACGCGCCAATTCGGACAGACAAGCGAGGCCCCGGACACAGCGCAGGCAGCGCTCGCCAAAGATTATGATAACGAAAGGAGCGTTATGTAAGCCGAACTTTGTTGTGTTAGCACACGCCGATGTTGTTGCAGTGGCGTGGCGTTGGTTCACAGTGTACTCACCGTCCTCGTCCCAGGCGCCCTCCGTCTGGATGGCGGACACCCCCGCCCCGATGAGCAGGCCGTTGGGCACGGCGAAGGGGTCGTCGGTGGCGGCGCCGTGGCACAGGGCCACCGCCAGCACGGCCAGCGCGGCCAGCCGCGAGAAGAATTGCATCGCTGCCGCCATACCTAGACCGTTGTCAACTGCGTTAACACCGCGTCAGTCCCTGCAGGCTGATTCGGAGAGTCTCACTTGCATTAAGTGGCGGTATGGACTTTCCGAATCGGTCTGCTAGCTTCGTAAAGCCGCACTGAGAAAAATGATTGACTCATGAGATGAAAACTTTGACTCCCAGGCTTGAACACTTCAATGAAAATAGAACTGGTCAAACCTTTGATGGAGATACTCAAAGCAGTTTGATCAGCGTGTTTGGTTCCAGCCCTCAAACTACTTTCAACACTATAATTCATTCGATGCACGACGACCTTAAATCAAGTTCAATAAGTATCAAAGAATTGATCCATTACTGTGCTCAAACGTTCAATGGGTTCCCAATTTTGTAAAAATGTCACAGAGCGATCCCTTTCCCGCCGGTATTCGATACCCGCAGTCCATTCCCTTACTAGTAATAAGCTGTAAACAGTTTCCGATGAACTGTGCAAGGGAAAACTGGTTACGCACCAACCGGGAATCGAACCCCGGACGATCTCGGTTTACCATCCAGCCTCCAGGCACGGATCCAACTGAGCTACCGTGACAACTGGGGGAGGCGAGAAGAACCAGTGTGTGTTGAGACGGCATGTGACGTCATTCCCGCAAGTGTCTTTGACTGCAAATATCGGCAGTGGAACCTGTTTGGTCACAGAGATGAATCGGAAATCAATTACGGAAACCGATCTTGTTTAGGCGTGTGCATTAAACACGATTGATTATGGCACCATGAGCGTTTAAGGCCTGCAGTAAAAAACTTTTACCATCGAGATCGAAGTATTTGATTTCCACCAAAAAGTGGACTGGTTAATCGACATTTAATGCTAGGAACCAAAGGTTTCATGCCACCATTCAATCATTTTTCTCAGTGCGGATCACCTGACGTAGACTTGACGGTGCCGCTCTCACCTGCTCCTGCACCTGTGCGACTCGGTGGGGCCGACTGTCGGGCGGAGAGTGCCGGGGCTGGCCGTCGGTCGCCGTCAACGCCCCACAGGGTGTCCGCCAGGCCTCTTATTCGGCCACTCGACCAGCCACTGTGACGACGTGAGTGATAGGAAGTCCGTGAGATCCTCGTTGAGATAAGGCCGGCCAGGCCGTCAACGGTAGCAGCGGCATGGTCCTGCAGCCTGGTCCCGGGGTGACGCACCTAAGCAGGATGCCTCAGACTGCAGGCGAAGATGACTCAGATGATGGTATGCAGGGTGAAGCGGCCGCGAAGCTCGACCACCATGACCCTCTCACTACGCGCCTCGCCTCGCGCCGCCCCGCCGCGACTCCGAGCGCCTCGGAGCACTACTTGGAGTGATTGGCGCGCGGGTTGGATTGGCGTAGTGCCGCGTAGAGCTGCGTGGGGTGGCTCGGTTCAGCAGTGCTGGTCGCAGAGGTCGATGTGACGGATTGGCCGAGCAGGTTCAAGCCGCCATCCACAACGGCCGGGCCATGCCGAGCGGCAAGTCGCCTCCCGGGTGGAAGGATCTGTAGTGAAACTGCAGTTTAAACTATAGTGCCAAAACTACAGTTCCTGAACTGCAGTTTTTGGTAAGAACAAAGTGCAGAATAAGTCCAGTTTCAGTTTGCTTATGGATCTGTAGTTTGCTGTGTAAGCAAACTGCTTTCTAACTGAACTGCTATTTATTGACCAGGTATTAAGTACTATCTGTAGTTAAAAAGTGAAGTTAAAAGTTTTTTAATACTACTCTACTTTAATAGTCCACTACTGAAGATCCGCCTACACTTATATCTGCAGCAGGATCTACAAAGGAAATAAAGTTTCTGCTCATACCTTTTTACACAATGACAAACTAGTTGAATGTTTACTACAATTTGTAGTAATTTTTCGATTAAGGCATAGTTTAAGATGTCAAGCACTGCAACTTGAAATGAAGAAACAAAAACAATTACATTGAGTGATTAAAATAATATAAGGATTGAAAAGGAAATATCTCTTAGAAGTTTCAGTTATTTCTTTTAAAGGTTTACGTTGAAATACTTGACGTTGCAGACTTTTAGAAGACACGACTAAACTTTCATATGAAAACCTATATGGCTGGATGTAACCAATTCTTAATATACTATCTGGTTATCTGTTTGCTTATTTTATAATGTTCCGTATTGGTCAGGTAGCATGTGACAAAGTATCGTGGAAATCAACAAGCCACAAAATTTAGCCAGCTTGTCGCCAAACAAGGTCAAACTAAGTGGCATCAAATTCATTATGACTGGATGATAAAATGTCAGACACAAGTAAAACTAGAAAGCATTATAGGACAGTGCGTCTCAGAAGTTAAAAAGGTAACGACTCCAGTCGTTGAAAATTAAGACCTTGAAGGCTCTCTGAATTAAATCACTCCATGGTGTCTTGGTTTCTGAGACAAATTCATTATAAATTACATTTAGGACAAGTGAATTTCACTCCTAGTACAGAGTGGCTTATAGTAAAACTGTAGTTTTCTAGCAGTTAAATTCTAGTTCCTGAGGAAAGCCGGCCTTTCTATGTGGTCGAGTAGCCAAGCCCCTATCCTCAAGGAAGCTCAGTAGTGCAGTGGTCAAGGCCTCTGCTTCACAAGCCATGGGTCCGAGGTTCAACTCCCGGCAACATCCAAACAAAACACACAATTAACACGAAGTCAATCACCTAAGGGGTCAGAGGGAGGAAGAGTCTCCTCAAAACAAGGTTCAAAAATTAAAAATTTTGAATTTTGAACCAAAATTTCAAACTGCAGATTGTCTTCTCTTTTGAACTAACTCTGGCTGTGTAACTAAACTACAGTAAAACTGTACTTTGAACTATAGTCAACTGATCTGAAGACTAGGACAACCTGGGTCAAAAACTATAGTTGTCCGAAATAACTGGTACTTTTTTTGCAGTTTAATTGTAGTTTACTACACTTCAACTGTAGTTGAACTACACTTTACCTGCAATTATACAATACATTAAAGTAATTTAAAGTATGAAAAAAAGTATTTAAAAATTAAGTTTAACATTACAAAAAACCTATATTTTTTCAATGTAGTTGAAACTGCAGATCCTTCCACCCAGGCTTCCTTCTCGGCGCACAGCGAGCAGGGCGAGGCCTTGAGCGAGGCGCCGCAGCATCGGGAGGTTGGCGACAAGCATCAGAGCGATAACCCAGGCTCGGCCGCCTGGTCTCTACGGTCGTTCGAGATCGAGGGCGCACTGGAGGTGCCCAAGAAATGCCGCTGGAGGTGCCGCTGGAGGTGCCGGCGGCGGTGCCCCTGGAAATGCCGCTGGAGGTGGCGCCTTGCCGCAAGGGTGGAGACCGCCATCGCCAGGAGCCGGCAGGTAGGAGGGGAGGCCGTCGGGGAGGCCGTCGGGGAGGCCGTCGGGGAGGCCGTCGGGGAGGCCGTAGGGGAGGCCGTCAGGGAGGCCGTCGGGGAGGCCGTCGGGGAGGCCGTCGGGGAGGCCGTCGGGGAGGCCGCGGTGGCCTCGGTGTGCGCGCCAACCGACTCCGTTTCTGCTTCGCCTTTTCCCCAGCGCTGTCCCCGACCGCCCTGCTGTTCCTGCGGCTCAGCGCCATCGCGCCCCTGGAGGCCCACGGCGCGGAGCTGCGGGTGTCGAGTGCGTGGCGCGTCTACTCCGGCGTGGTGCAGCTCACCGCCCTGGCCGCGCACGTCGGCTTCGACTACCTCAAGGTGGCCCGTCCTTTAGTTCAGTGTACAGCGAAGCTGTAGTCTTAGCTGTCTCTGCCAGGCTAAGACCCAGCATTAGTCGCACTATCTGGCGGTTATGTAAATCAATTTGAGCTCCTTGAGTTTGACGCAGTCGGCGTTTCGGAAGTATGATGTAAGAATAGTTGAAAAGAACGGCGGGACTTTGTCCAGACCGAGCCGTAATCATGAAATGCCTGTAGTTGTCGTCACCGAGTTGTTCTTGTCGTGAATCCAGCCGTCCAACTCCCTGGCGTCCCCGATCGGCGTGGTGAGCGTCGTCTCCGCCTCGTCCAACTGCCTTGGCTCGGCCATCCGCGTCTACAGCTCCGTGCTCAACGCCCAGAATACCTGCTTAGTGGACGTCTTGAACCAGGTTCGCAGCGGGACAGAGAACACCTAAAAATATAATCCGAACACATTTACACGCATTGAAAGAAAGCGCATTGTATGGCAGGCAAGAAAGTTGGTCTGGTCTCCAAGAAACGTCCCTTCAAGTTCGTCACGGGTGACAAACTCTCCCCAATGACGTCACGGATGAGCACGGCGTTGTCCGTTTCGTGGAAAGAGTGCGAATGAGTGTCCTCGTTATCGGCAGGCCCAGCGCGTCTGGCGGGACTGCTGCCCCGGCCAGAGGGACGTCCTCGCCGTGCCGCCGGTGGTCTTCGTGGTCGCCATCCAGGTGCTGCGGCAAAGTCTGCGGGTCCTGGGGATCAGCTCGGTAGGAATCACGTACCGAGGACAGGTTTCAGTCACAGAAAAAACAGATTAGTTACCACGAGTTGCCGGAAGCCACAGAGAACATATTAGTTGATACATCCAAAAATTAGCTGTCGTAACAAACGCTTTAGTTTCTATATAACGAAACGATTGGTTTAAGCCACTGACTTTAAGTTTATCAGCTTATCTGATCTGACATTTGGGTTGTCACAACTAATTCTTCATTGTTTCCATCCATGCTTGCGTAATGACTAGAGGAACCGCGCAACAGCGCTAAAAACGAAGCAGAGTGGCAATCGAGCGGGTAAACACTTCAAGAGATCGTGAAAAGCCTACGTGGCTGATAACGGCATTGAAATGCTACAATTTTGTTACAATATTGACCCCAAAATGGTATAACGTTTACGGGAATTACGCGCGTGTTTACCCCCTCGGTGGCAATCGTACCAGCACATCATAAGGTTGTCATCTCATCCAGCACCACAGGATGGGTAGCTTGCGTCAAGCCCGCGAACAGCACGGACACGGACGGGTTGCTCCAAGCGTGACAGCGCAGCCGCTAACGCCACGCCACTTCCCGCGGCAGCACGCCAATAAATGCCGTGATTTTGCGGCGAATCAGATGAACGCAATTGCTGTCGTCGCGTCGCATTTTCCTGCCCCTGAGTACACTAGTACACAACACAGCGCAGTACACACCCCGGACGGCCTGCAGCACTTACCCCAATTGCCTTCCGGGTGGCCGAGGCCGCCGGGCCAGGTGGTTAAATTAATCTGCGCAGTGCTCACGGGGGCCCCTCCCCACGGAACCTCTTGACCTCGCGGGCCGGCTCAGGGCAGAGTGTCTGTCTGTCGCGGCCGCCTACCCCCTGCCACAGACGCTCAGAGGCGGCCGCAGACCGGGGGCGGCGACGATGCGTACCGTCCGCGTCGTGGGGAGCAGCAAGACGGCGACGACGGGGATGACAGGGCTGCAGCCTGAACTAGGTTGGTGGAGGTCAGATTACGGTGCACACCAAATAAGCGTAAAGTTGGCAACAGTAATGGCCTAGGCTTGGCAGCCTGGTCGACCCAGTCCGAGAGCGTGGACACCCTGGAGATGCCCCTGGAGGTGCGCCTGGGTCGCAACCGTGACGGTAGGGACCGCGAACGCCAGGAGCCGGCAGGTAGGAGAGGAGGCCGTCGGGGAGGCCGCGGTGGCCTCGGTGTGCACGCCAACCGACTCCGTTCCTGCTTCGCCTTTCCCCCAGCGCTGTCCCCGTCCGCCCTGCTGTTCCTGCGGCTCAGCGTTATCGCGCCCCTGGAGGCCCACGGCGCGGAGCTGCGGGTGTCGAGGGCGTGGCACGTCTACTCCGGCGTGGTGCAGCTCACCGCCCTGGCCGCGCACGTCGTGTACGACAGCCTCAAGGTGGCCCGCCCTTTAGGTCATTGTTTCGCATCAGCGGGTGTGCAAGAGGCAATCTTTTTTAGGTGTCAGTGGGCGGGCTGTTGGTATTGGTAGCACTCTATTTCCAATTGTTTTTATCTCCTCCCGATGAAAATTTGTTTCCATAATTTGACTGAGACAGTAGTCATGGCTGCCTCTACTACTCTTCTCAGACTTACGTCTGTTTCTATTTTGGAGACCAGCCGCTCAACACTTTGGCGAACACGATGGGCGTGGTGGGCGTCGTGTCGGCCACGTCCAACTGCATGGGGTCGGCCATCCGCCTGTACGGCTCCGTGCTCCACTCCCAGAACGCGTGCTTGGTGGACGTCTTGAACCAGGTTCGGACACAACGCAGGCTGGCTCAAAACAGCACGCTGAAAACACACCCCGGGGTCGTTTTGGATGAGCACGCCGTTGCGTTGTTCCCGTTGTCCCGTCCCGGCAGGCGCAGCGCGTCTGGCGGGAGTGCTGTCCCGGCCGGAGGGACGTCGTCGCCGTGCTGCCCGCGGTCCTCTCCGTCGCCCTGCAGGTCACGCGGCAGTGGGCCCGGGTGCTTTACACCGTAAGAAACAAATTCTTACCAATGGTATAATTAAGTAAAATGTGTAAACAAAGGTTGGAAACATACGTGACATTGTCTTGGTTTTGCGCAAATCCGTGTTTTTTTTTCTTAAAAAGAAAGGAAATTGTGAGGACAGTCACAATACCATTTTTTTTCGAGGTTTGGATTACCCTGACTTCATAGAGTGACATTCCATTTTCGCGCTCTCATCGGGTTCCATTGCGCTCAAGGAGAAGGTGAGCCGCGAGTTCGAGCGCGAGCGCTCCTACCAGTTCCTGGAGGTCTCGAGCGTCCTGCTGTACGGCTCGGTGGCGGACGACATCCTGGACGCGATGCAGGTCGCCGTCTTCTTCGTGGCGGCGCGGAAGCTGGCCTGCGTGTTCGCCGGCCTGCGTGCCGGCCTGCACGACCTCCTGGACGACCTGCGGCAGGGCAGCGACGACGGGGTGAACGTCGCTAACAAGGCGAGTCACAGCGCGCCGCGACGCTGCCACCCACACACAAGTGGCGGAAAATTTCCACGATGCACCAGTGTGGAAAGGGTTGCCAACTTGTCCCAGCTTGTGGAGACACTCCCCCGTGGCTGGCGAGCGCGCTGGCGTGCGCGCCTGTGAAGTCGGCAGTAGGCAACCCCAGGCACATGCATGCCCGGGGGCACGCGAGTTTGCCTACCCTGCAGGCGCTTGCCGCCGGAGCGAGTGAATTCTTGGAGAGTGATTGCGCCGTGGTGGCATCCTCCAAGCGACGGATGTGAAGCCAACCCAAGGCTGAGTTGGAACCCCTAACTTTTGAACTTGCTGCTGCAGGTGAGTTGCCTCCGCGACGCTCACAAGCAAGTCTTCATCCTGGCCGACGACTTGAGTGGGTGCTTCGGGCTCTCGCTGCTGGCGTCACTCACGCTGCGCATGTGTAACATGATGTTCTGCATCACAGACATCATGAGATCCATTCAAGTCGGAATCGATTGGTAAACGCCCTTTCTCTTTGTCAAAGTGAGGCAGATTGGTAGATTTCTATTCCAGTCTCGAAATCACAATTTCTTTTTTTGTAACCGCAGGCCTTTTCTCATTTCGCTCCTGAACTTTCTGTCACACGCGGCCGGTCCGCTTGCGCTCATGCACGTAGCCTCCCAGATGGAAAATCAGGTATTGTTGGTTATCACACTACAACGATGCAATGAGACGAAGGCAAACAGCAACCAGAACTCCTCTCTCCTAGGGAAATTCCGCCCTGCGCCTTGTCCACCAGCTCATCAACCGGGACAGTCAGAGGTCGAGGCCTGATCTACGCCTCGAGGTGATCATGGTTCACAACCCAATCAAGTCGACAGTTTCCCTCGAGTTTTCACTAAACGCTTTCGAGGAGCGTCTGTCCATTGACGAGCGCCGCCGCGATCTGTTGCAGCTGAGCCTGTTCGCCGACCAGCTCGCCCAGGAGCGCGTGTGCATCCGACTGCTGGGCGTGGTCGAGGCGGGCCACGGACTGGCCTTCAAGGTACGCGTCGGTGGCGGCCATCCCCCTGGCACTGCTCCTCCAAGCCGGGGTTGAAGTTTCCACTGACTAGTGCTGTGTTGTCGGCAGGCTGCCGGCATGATGGTCACGTACGCCGTCATGGTGATCCAGTTCCAGGCGGACGAGACCGCCAAGCCAGCCAACTGCACAGGCACGGTCAACTAGTCGACTGCTGCCGCGGCACGGCTTGGCTCCGCCAAGACGGGCAGAGCGCCACAAGTTGGAGCTGCGGGAGCTACGTGGTGGGCCGGGACCCAGGACCACAGCGCACGGCATGGCGGCACCCCCTCCACCGACGCGACTCTTCGCGGCCTTGAGCTTGGCCCGCAACTAGCGGCGGCCGCCTTTGCCACGACAATTCCCGTCACATCTCCGCATGGAGCCGAACGTGGCCGAACGGTCGGAGTAGGGAGACGGAGCGCCGAGCGGTGGCGTCGGAGGTGCTAATAACCGAGAGTTATTTGCACAGTCACGCGGTCACAACAAGCTGCCCAGTGTGTCCAGGGAACAGTCATATTTGGTTTATTCTTTGATACAAAAAAAAGCAAGTCTTAGGAGAAGATGGCGGCGCTGCTTATGGGTACTCGCCGAACGGGTACGCGGGATGGCTCCTGTCGAGTCTGGAAAACAAGAGCGGGAATGAAATTCTGCCGACCGTCGCTCCTCTTATGGGATATGATTCTTGAGCCACCCACCCCAAGAAGGCCATGTCGAAGATGCGGCCGGCCTTGCCCTGGTCCAGCGCGTCGATCTTGGCCATGTCCACCGTGCTCAGCTCCCAGTCGAACAGCGCGATGTTCTGCTGGATGCGCTCCTTGGACAGCGACTTGGGGATGGCGATGATGCCCCTCTGCACGATGTGCTTGAGCAGCACCTGGCCGGGCGTCTTCTTGTGCTTCTGCGCCACCTCCACGATGGTGGGGTTCTTGATCAGGTCCGGCAGCGTGATCCTAAACACAGAGAGCGTCATGCAGTGGGGACATAGTGGGAGTGCCACCGAACGAGGAGTGTTGCTCACCCGAAGTTCTTGACAAAGTTCTCGGAGCCGGGGCTGCCGATGGGCGAGTAGGCGCAGACGGTGATGCCGTTCTGGTGGCAGAAGTCGACGAGGGGCTTCTGCTGCATGTACACGTGCAGCTCGACCTGCAGGTTGGCGGGCTTGATGGTGCAGTTGTCCAGCACCTTCTGGATGAGGCGCTTGTTGTAGTTGGACAGCCCGATGGCCTTGGCGCGCCCGGCGTGCACCTCGGCCTCCATGGCCTTCCACATGCCGACGTGGTCGGTGTCGGACTCGAACTTCATCTTGCCGTCGGGGCCGATGGGGAAGGGGGAGTCGTCGGGCGACTCCTTGGCGCAGAAGGGGCAGTGGGCGAGGTACAGGTCCACGTAGTCCAGGCCCAGCTTCCGGAGCGAGTCGCTCAGCCACTTCTTGGGGCCGGAGGGTCGGATGCCTTCAGCCCAACAGAACACAGTTCATCAAAATTCGATACCTAGTCCGTTGTGCCAAGGCGCTCGGTAAAGACTCATTCGTAGCGGCCCGCTCGAGAAAGACTCAGTTGCTGCTGAATTGCCGTCTGAGTTGCTACAACTGAGTTTTCACCGCGCGCATCGGCTCAATTGAGGTCTCCTTCTCGTACATATCGAATTGTGATCTCAAGAACAAACATTTTCACAGCAATTTCCCACATTGCAGGTGACTGGTGATAGCCCGTTATCTAATCGTTGCTGGAGCTCACCTGCGGCCGGCAGCTTAGTGACGATGAAGAGGTCCTCGCGCTTCACCTTGCCCGAGTCCATCCACTCCTTGAGCACCTGGCCGATGGCCTCCTCGTTCCTGTAGGCGGCCGCCGTGTCGATGTGGCGGTAGCCGGCCTCCAGGGCCGCGTGCAGGGCGCCCTCCAGCTGGCCCTCCACGGCCTGTGCGTGCATAGCGTGACCACGGCATGAGCTCACGACACGACAAAGATGACGTTGCCGGAACTTCCACTAGGCTGTTCCCTAGTTTCGCCGCCAGTGGCGGTTATCGGCACGGAATGGAGAAAAACAGCGGAAAATATTGGGGAGATAACATCAAGTGAGACGAATCAAAAGCTGGGCAGCGCAAACGCTCTTGCTGAAGTACCGAGTACATTGTACACAGTGTGGCCCAGGTCTTATCAGATATGCTGCCCGATGAACGCAGTGCAGCAATATGCGGCGCGGGAAACAGGTTCGAAAATATGCCATCTGGACGGATTCAAGGTGGTTTCTATTGCTCGCGTCAAAGTAAAAAGGGCCCAAACTCGACCAAAACCGCTCTCCTTACAAACAACAACAACCAGCATTGGGTAGAAGTCCCAAAACATGCCCCTCCTCTATTACATTACAAGAACTTGTAAAGCATTCTCATCCACAGTCAAAAATTGATAGCTACGACGCGGACAACTAAGCTAGAGTTTGTCGTCGTTCAAAGGAGCCAGCTTTTGTTTGCCGGATTTTAGATTACCAACACTTGAATTCAGCCTTCCGATAAACACGAAACGCTCACGAAGAAGTCAAAGAAGTCAAAATGACGTCAATGTGACCGTCAAAACGACGTTGTCAATGTCGAAATTTTGACTAAAAGCAGTCATATTGGCATCAAATGACGTCACGGTGAGCGTCTCGTGTTCTTGGGGCTATCGAGCAGAAGGAGACTCTACCTGCCAGGTTCCGTAGCCGAGGAGGGGCATCTTGGCCCCGGTGTGGAGCGTGGCGTACGTCTTGCTGGGCATGTTGTCGGACTGTCACACTGTCAAATGCGTGGAGGAGGCCGCTGCGAACTGCGAGCGCTGCGAGAACTGGGCAGACCGGCCCGGTTATACTCGGAGGCGACGCCGGCAGAGCAGCGCCGGCAGCGCCGCACGCCACGCCGGCAGCAAACCAAAACACCGCCGGGCGCGGGCGGGGCGGGGCGGGGAGGAGGGCCAGAGGCGTGGGAGGGGAGGAGGACCCGCGCGGCAGAGCACACCGGCCCAGCCAGCCTGACCAACACTTCTACAGTGGGGACGGCTGTCCGAAATAGTCTATTGCACAGTACCGCGCAAGGCCCAAAGGAGCAGACCGAGTTAAAATCGGCAGCTATCGCACCCAATCGACCCACGGCGCATTGCGAAACCTTGTATAAACTCGATCTAGGGAATGGAGGGGAATCACATGCACTGTCATCGAAAGAGCAGGTTGGTATAAGCCTACTGAACGACCGTGGTATATTTCTGCAGATGACGTCGCGGAGCAAAAGATCTCCTGGGAAAACATCAAGACGTCCATCCAGTCATCGCATCTTTCTAGGAAAGGGTTGCCAACCTCAGCCTGCCATTTAAGCAGCGTAGCGGAGCCCAGGCTGCCGAGTGAGCAGGCTGAGATTGGCGGCCCTTTCGACAGGCCTTTGCATGTGGCAGCACTGTGAGTCTATCTCTGCACCCGGAAGGTTGGCAGCGGTGTCGCCACAGGTCGCAATCTTCACCGTGACTAGGCAGAGCGTGGCAGAGCGTGGCAGCGGCAAAGCAGAGGGGCCGCGACTACGGCCCGCGAGTCGCTTGCCTGGTCTAATCGCGGTCGCTCTCTCGCACGCATGGAGAACGGCACGTCACGGCACGGTGCGGCACGGCACGGCCCGGACAGAGACAGACCGACGGCGCCTACCACTCAGCCAATCAACCTGCAGAGAGGCGAAGGTGCAGCTACAGCCTTGGTCTTGGGCCTGACGTTGTGCAATGCGTGTGGGGCTTGACAGTTGGCAGGGCTTCACCAGGTATCACAAGGTAGTGCCTTCGAAGAGTGGGTTCGGTTCGTGGAAGGCGACGCCGGGTTACTCGACTGAGTTGGGTATGAGGCCAAATCCGCACGTTTCCTCAAGAGGTTTAATGTTGTCGCTCCACGATGCTTGACTTGTTGCAAGCCACGCGTTGGGCGTGCTTGCTGCGCTGGCCTCTCGCGGGGCGGCGATAAGGGCTCTGGACTTTCCGCCATGTGTCGCGATACAGGGCAGCCGAGCCATTCTGGGGCTGTCTCTCTCGCACCACCTCGGACGCCCCACGAGGGCGACAGGGACAGAGCGACCAATTCGGAATCAGGCTGCTGATCAATACGAGATCGAATGGCGTCGGACTTGGCGGGCCGCAGCTGATGGTGTTAGTGTGTGAGTGCGTGCGTGTGTGTGACAAGCAAGTGTGTGTGAGCTGGCGGCTATGCGTGTGTGCGACGCAAGGCGACGGCCGGGCGTTGGACTCAGTTGGACGCGCCCCTGCCCTGAACGTTCACGAGGACCTAGGACAAGACAATTTTGCTGAGTCAATTTTTGATGTCACGAGCAACTACACTTAAAACCTAAGTGTGTTCTAGGTACAGAGGGGCTCTATGCGGCTCTATGTGTGTACTAAGTACACAGTTTAGTGCTGTGTACTCAGTACGCACTTATATTCGTTTTGAACTGGAAATATATGAGGTGTTTTTCACGGGGCTGGTGAGTTCGGATGGAGGATGCGTGCCTGCAGGAAGCTGAACCACGAGCGCAGGGCGTTGCCGCACGTCGGCCGGTTCAGCAGCCCGATGCCTTTGCCCCGCAGCCTGGCGCCGCCGCCCTGGGACGCCTGCATCAGGCCGCACCGGAGTCGCCGCTGCCACGGGGCCTCCTGCGGCACACGCCCGGCACACGCCCGGCACACGACGTCAAGCACCGGCCGTGCCGTAACGGCCGCCTCCCCCAAACCAAACACGCGCGCACCTCCAGCTAGTGTTCCGGATTGGGTGGGCGGTCAAAACCCGATGACTCCAGAGCGACTCTAGAACTCGGCCGGGGAATGCAGTGCCGCCCGTAGGCACTGCCGACGGGCTAGCTCAGGTCCTACGCTAGCCTGCTGACAGTGTCTGTTGGCGGCACTGCATACACCGGCCGAGTTCTAGAGTCGCTCTGGAGTCATCGGGTTTTGACCGCCCACCCAATCCGGAACACTACCTCCAGCCACGGGCCGGCCGCCGCGCGGTTCATGACGCCGCGCCTCGCCGCGGCCAGCGTGTCGCCGATCTCGCACAGGGGCACGAACACCATCAGCACGAGGGGGGCCATGAGCACGGCGAACACGTCCGCTTCCACGCCACGCAGCGCCACCTGGAGGCACGCGCCAAAGCGATGAGCCTCGTCCATTCGGGACAACCCCTCCTCCTGGACCATAGCGCGGCCATTACCAGTGGTGGATCCAGAGCGGGCCTGAGGGAGGGCAAGTAGCACTTTTCGCCCCCATGGCTGCTTTCTGCCTACCTTTCAGGCTGCTCGGCCTAGGGGCGGAGGGCCCTCTCTGACGACGCCTACCTCGACGGTGCTGAGCAGCGGCAGCACCACGCTGGTGACGAGCAGGTGCGGCAGCACGTCGGCCAGGCCGCTGTCCAGTCCGAGCAGCATCGGCAGGAGCTGGGCCTGCAGCCAGGGCCAGCGGGCGTGGCACCGCGTCTCCTGCAACCAAAGGGAGACCTAGCACTGTGTCCTAGGGTTGCCGTTCTGGGCCTCCAAACCGCTCCAACCTGGAGGGCCCGTCCCAGGGCGTCGAACAGGTCCGCGGTGGTGCCGTACACGACGAGCAGGCACAGCATGAGCGTGTAGTACGAGTGGATGGAGCAGAACATGGACACGAGCTGCGGAAAGAGTACCATCCAACGCATCGAGCTGGCCAAATACGGATGCACCGCCTCCTGAAAAAAAGGAATCTTCCTTTCGTTTCCAGAAACTTTCCACTCGTGTTTTCAAAGAGACCGGCCAGGCTCACCGCGTGGTGGGGCGGCAGCGGCCACAGCAGCAGGTTGGCGATGGCCGCGGGCCAGCCCTGGTGCACCACGAGGAAAATCGCCGGGACGACTATCTCCGACATGAGGCTGTACGTGACGAAGAAGCGGATCAGGCGGGCGCTGCGCCTCGCCGTCCTCGCCATGCGCTCCTGCCAACCGTCATGCAGGTCGTTGCTGAGGTGCTCAGCCAAGGCTCAGCGAGCGCGGTGGAGACGCTCTCCTTTAAGGCTCTCAAGAAGGCTTCAGACTTGAACGAGCTTCAGAAGGCGGCTGACTTTGGGCGGCTCTTGTGTCCGAAATCGAGGCCGCCAAATCAATCACACTCCACATACACTGCTTAGATCGGGTGGTGCAGCTATGTATAGACTTCCTTTACTTCGTAAAGTACTCTTTGCTGCCTCACCCTGTGCTATGCTACAGTACTTGTCAAAACGTACAATTTTCTTCGTAAGGTCTGTAGTGGCTTGCAAGGTTTTGAGTGTACGAGAAACCCTCCAGTGATTTTGGACCTTCTGTTTTCATGCCCTCGCTACTTTGCTGAGGAATGTGACTGACTACTCGGCTTCGTTCCGGAGCACCGTTACGGAGAAGGGTGGACTGCTCCGTAGAAACAACACGACAGTGACCAAAGGTGGTCCAGCCTTTCCCTCAAGGACCTGACCTGAGACTCGGGGTGCGTGTGGCCCTCCAGATGCTGCAGCAGGCTGACTAGCTGCTTGAGGGCGTCCGTGAGGACGTGCAGGCGTCTGTCGAAGACGTACTGGGAGACGATGCACGAGTACACGCCGATGGCGTAGCGCGCCTGGAACTTGCTGGTGTTGGTGTAGTCCACGATCAGGTCCACCAACGCCAGCGCCATCGGCACCAAGCACGCCACTATCGTCCACTGGAACAAGCAGAGAGTGACACTCGACCAGTCAGAAGAGTCATTTCGTCGCTTTGTCTCTGTCACGGGGCCCTCCGTAAGGGCGCGCGAGGGACAGAGTGACCCACCTTGGTTCCTCGGAAGAGGGTAAGAACCCTGTGCACCAAGCCGGCCTTCTTGTCGGGCGTGAGGTGCCGCAGCCACCACTGTAGGTGCTGGGTCAGGGGCTCGGCGGCCAGGGCGGGGCCTTGACCAGCCATCGTCGCGCAGGGCTGTGTTTTGACGGCGACCCCACCCACTGGCGCAACCTCCGCGGGGCGCCCCGCCAGCGCCGAGCCGTGTCCTCGCCGCGCCCCTCGATTTAACTGTCATTATGTTCGATTGGCTCAAACGGCAATTACAACCCCCGACACACGGCGGCCGGGCATCGGCCGGGCATCGGCCAGGTGCCGCGGGTTGCACGGTGGCATCGGCCGCCGGCAGTATCCCCGAGTCCATCTTGGGTCCACAGTCGCCACACCGCCGCCTTGGCCGCCGCCACCGCGGACGACGGGGAGCTCCATCAGATAGCAGCATCGACCTGGAAATGGGCCGTTCTTCGCGTTGGCTAACCAACACAATTTCCTCGGATTTGGTGGAGGCATGCGAGGAACTGACGCACTTTTCCCCTCGGAAACGCAATCGCCGTTCCGGGAGGCGGGCAGTGCGTCGGCGAACGGAGGCAAGTATGCGTCTCGACATGAGGTGCGTCAGGCAAGGCGTCAGGCCGGAGGCTCGGTGACCCGCTTTCATTGCTGTTGCTTCACTTTCATTGCGTTGTTCTGTGCGCGCAGCCTCCTGAAGGTGGTCCCCCTGAGCGCTGTGCTGGTGTCATTGGCCACGCCGCTCGGCTCCAAGACCCCCGGCCTGCGCGTCTTCAGCCCCGACGCGGAGCCGGCCGCCGAGGCTAGGTGATCACTCTCGTCGATGCGAACGACCGCGCGTGGTCACACGTGACTCTGCCTCTTTCGCACCGATGCAGAGCGCACGAGTGTGAGAGACACAGGTGCTTGGTTCGCCTTGGTTGCACTTCCGTCGTCCCCAGGTGCGCGCTGTCCCTGCTGGCGCCGTACTTGGCCTCCAGCGCGAGGGCAGCGCCGAGACTCTTCGTCATCGGCGACCTCCCCTGGCTGGGAGACTTCCTCGCCTGACTGCCGGCCGTCGCCGCGGTCACGGTCATGGACAAGGCTTCGTGGACGCGACGAGGTGCGGTGCGGGGGAGGCCGAGGGTGACCCTCGGGATGCTTCTTGCCTCTGACCGACCAATACCCTTGCAGCGGCGACCATCCAAGCCGAAGTCCAGGAGCACTCCACCTTCGTCCTGATGGCTGTGCACGGTGCCGCGGAGTTCCACCGCCTGAAATTTCTCACCTTCAGCATCGAGATCAAGATCCTCGTGTGGATCTCCGGGGAGGCGGGGGCCACGCCACCGGAGGTCACCGACGATTTGCTGTCGGACGAGTGCTTTCTGGAGGTAGGGAAGTCCCTGGTCGGCGTGCCCAGGTCGATGTGCGGCCTCTGAGTGTCTGAGTGTGGCAGGGCCGCGTAGCCATGACCGGCCCGGACGGCACCACGCGGGTCTTCGGCCGCCCCCTGGACTGCTTCCACCACGACGACGTCGAGCTGGACCTGTGGCGCCCGCTCCCGGACGGCGGCGGTTCCTGGCAGCGCGGGGGGCGCGGGCTGTTCAAGCCGCTATGCGGCACCTGGCGGCGCCCCAGCCCGCAGCAGCCCCTCCAGATCGTCGTCACGTCGGACCAGGTGGGTCGTGCGCTGCGTGCTGCGCGCCATGTTGCGCTGGCCGCGGTGAACAGCACCCTCACGCACCACGTCGGCTGCCCGCCAGGCCAAAGGAGGCTCCGTCGGGGAGCTGGTGATGCACATCCTGGCGACAATGCTGGGCAAGCACCCCGAGCTGGTTGCCAAGGCCCGCTTCCAGGATGGCCTGTTAAGCATCCTGCGGGACACCACGGACTGCAGGCTCGACTTGTACATCGCCATGTTCTCGCTGCAACGGAGGATCTCCAGCGGGCTGTCCGTGTTCCCGTGGGGCATGACCAGCATCGTGGTGGTGGTGCCCGCCGACATGGGGAACCACCCCGGGCTGCTGCACGAGCTCTCGGACGAGTTCACCGACGGCCTCTGGTGCGCGACGGGGGTGACCATGCTGGTGGTGGCTGCGCTGCTGCTGTGCCTGCGGAGGGGCCGCCGCACGCCCAAGGCCGCCCTAGACGCCGTCCTGGAGGTGGTGACGCCGCTGCTGGGGCAGTTCATGCCCCCCGGCATGCAGGAGACCCTGGCCTCTAAGATCCTCTCCAGCAACTGGGTGCTCGTGACGGTCGTCATCGCGGCCGCCTATCAGGTTGGCCTTGGCGACGGCGCCCAGGTCTAAAAATCTTGTGTGGTTTACGGGATCCTGTATCATTTTGCAGGATCCCGTCTAGTTTTACGAGATCTCGTATGGTTTTGCGGGATCCCGTAAGAACACTCGAGATCCCGGGAGGGTCGCACAGGATCCCTTAAGACCTTATGGGATCCGGTAAGGGTCACACAAGATCCCGAGAGGGTCATACGGGATCCCTTAAGTAGCCGGGATCCCGGGAGGGCTGCACAGGATCCCGAGAGGGTCGTACGGGATCCCGCACGCTGCCGAGATCCGGGAAGAGCCACACGGGATCCCGTGATGGTCTTGCGGGATCCCTTATGTTGCCGAGATCCCGGGAAGTACGCACGGGATTTCAAATTTAGGTATGCTGTAACTCGGAAAGTTTTTAACATTTTAAGCTGAAATTTTGTATGGGGTATGTTCGCTAAAATTCACCAGTGCCATTTGAATTTTATTGAAATCTAACTACTTTTTTCTGCTATCTCGAGAACCGCTGGAGTTATCCAAATTTTGACTGCAGATTTGGATAGATCTCGGTTCCAACCTCCCAGATGATTCAATCTTTTGATTCTATCTGCAGAAGAACTTGCACTGAAAAAAATGTCTAGTTAAAAGTACTAGACTGTTCCTAGTTAAACGAGCACCGGTAATAATAACTAAAAACCTTGTAGTTTTCACTAGATTTTCAGTTATATCTACTAGCATGGGTATGGTAACATTTACCAGACGTCTAGTTAATATTCCTGGTAAATTTAACTAAACTGCTTAGTAATTGTCGTCAAATTTAAAATTGCAATAGACTAAATTTTAACAATGCGTCTTGAATCCCTTCGGTTCCCTGCGATATCCAAAGCAACGTTTAGCAGCCGGAAATGCCACTCCTTCAGCTGCCTTAGGTGAGCGGCAAAACGATGCGCAGTGTCATCGGGCGGGGACACTCGGCTCTCACATGTGGCGTGATAGCGCAGTGGTAACGAGCTTGGCTCGTAAGTGGAAGATCGGTGGTTCGATCCCGGCCAGAAGCGAACCGGAAAATACTTCTTCTCAGCTTTACGATCTCCCAGCGTACATGTGGGGGCGTAGAGTTGAGAAATTACATTTTCTTCTTCTGCTTTGTCTTTTTACAATTCAAAATTTTTACTAGAAGTTTAGTTAATTTTACTAGATTGGGGGTCTGATGGCATGGTAAGGTTTACCAAGAATCTGGTTATTTTTACTAGACAGATATCAACTAGGCAGTCTGGTATTTGTAACTAGATTCCTTGTTGGTTCCTATTCAATTAGACTGTCTGGTAATTGGCACCAAAATCCTAGTTGCTGTAACTAGACTTTTTTTTCAGTGTGTATTTTCACGTCTTTATCTGCACTTTACAGGATCCTTTTAGTGGGCAAAGGATTCCTTTTCGGCATACGAGATCCCGTCCTGGCGTACAGGATCCCGTCCTGGCGGACAGGATCCTGTCCCAGCATACGGGATTTTGAAAATTCGTTAAAGGATCCCGTGTGTCCTCACGGGATCCCGTCCACCTCAGGATCCTGTATGGCTCGGGATCTCGTATAGTAGTACGGGAATCCCTTAACGAATTTTCAAATCCCGTATGATCTTACGAGATTTTTAGACCTGGGCGCGCCGCCGCGACTGTTGGGTTGCCGATGCGGCAGGCGCGACTCGTGTCCGATGGGTCGCCCATGCCGCCACTCCCGCCACTCCCGCCACTCCCGCCGCCTCGTTGTATTGCAGGGCCAGCTGCTGAGCGACCTCACCGTCCTGACGCCGCACCACGAGATCGACACCGTGGCCAAGCTGGCCGACAGCAAGCTGCCCGTGCTGCTGCCGCGCGGCATCTTCGCCAGCGAGCTGCCGGCCGAGCTGCGAGCCCAGGCGCGCAATTACTTCGGCAACACCACCGCCCTGCTGCAGGTGTGGCCCTGTCATCCACACAGCCGAGGGCCAAGCACTCTAATCGACGCGCGTAATAATGCGTTATAATAGCGCTGTAGCCGAAATAATCCGAATTATAACTATTTTAGGGTTGTTCCGCACCGTTTTCAACGAAATTCGGATGATTTTGAGGCTTAATTGGCGCATTAGTCGGGTCACATGGATTGGGCGCATTCCCCGGTCCAAATCGGAGACCGAGTGAGTCGCTACAAATTTGCCCCCCAGATGGTGGCTGAGCAGCGCACGGCGGCCACGCTGCTGGACCCCGGCGAGCTGGGGCTGCTGATGCCGTGGCTGCGCACGCCCAGGAAACTGTTCGCCTTCCTGGCCCCCATGCCCAGGCTCACCACGTTCTTCGCCAGCATGAAGGGCTCCCCGTACGTAGAGCCCTTGCGGGACGCGCTGTCCCGCCTGCGCGCCTCGGGGCTCGTCCTGTACTGGCTGCAGGTCGCCGTCGAGAAGTACGTGCGGTCCTTGAAGCTGCTGGACTCCGAGAGGACCGAGTCGCAGGATCCGCAGGACGACCAGGTACGCCGTTGGAACAGCCGTCGCCAAAAATACGTCAGACATGCGGTTGATGATTGCGTTGTGCCCCCAGCCGCTGGTGGACACGTACTACCTGAGGTACTTGGCCAAGGCCAGCACGCGGCCCGCGCAGCCCATCGACACGCGCCACGTGCTGCCCGCCTTCGTGCTGCTGGGCGTGGGGCTGGCCGCGGCCGCCGGGGCGCTCGCCGCCGAGCTGGCCGTCAAGAGCGGCCTCGTGCCGAAGGTGCCGAAGGTGCCGAAGGGGGCGCCCTCGTGCGCCGCGTTCTAACCTGTACAGTCAAGTCTTGACAACGGGGACGTTTCGAATTAATTAAATGGCGTACTCGTTCATCCTGCGACGATCTTTTTATTGGCTTTGAACAAGAAACCGGCCTCTGGCCCTCCTGTCAGCCCCCTTGCTCCCGCTGCTCGTGCTCCTGGGAGTCCTGGGAGTCCTGGCCCGGTGCCGCGGCAGGCAGGCCGGGCAGGCCGCGCAGGGCGACGGCGGCGCGGCGAGCCTCCGCAGCGCGGTCCTCAGCAGCAGCACCGCCAAGTGCAGGCCCAGCGCCCCCCAGCACGGCCGGCACGACCCTGCGGCATTGCTTTGTTTTCACAGCGTGCCTGCCGACCCGCGAGACCGCGCGGCGCGCGGGGCTGTCGGTCGACTGATGCCGAGGGCCGCCTTCGTCGCTCTGTCTCTCTCGCACCTATACGGGACGCCCCACGAGTGCGAGAGAGACAGAGCGACGAAGGCGGCAGGCGGAAGTACCCTTACCCTGCGCGGTGACGACGCTGGCGGCCGAGGCGAGGAGGCCGGCCCACGTGGCGGGGACGTCGCCCTGGAGGCCGAGGCCGCCGTCGACGAGCACCAAGAGGCGCGACAGGGCGCGCGGCGCGACGGCGCCTCGGCGTGCCCTCATGCTGCTGCGCGCCGGCCAGGCGAGCGCGTTCAGTCTTCAATCGCGGCGCTGCTCCGCGAGTCTGAGGAGCACTGGTGCGCGGAATGGCCCACGCGGCGACACGCGCGTGCGGCACACGCGTGGAGTACACCATGTAAGCGTAATGACGTTGGGGCAGGCAGGCACACGCGACGCGGGAATTATTGAGTCCGCCCCCGGCCGCCGTGCCGCCGTGCCGCCAGCCACGCAGCCAGCCACGCATCGCCGCGGTGCGTGCTGCCGGTGCTGCCGGTGCTGCCGCCAGTGCTGCGCGGCGCAGTGTCCGCCCTCCGGTGCGGCGCGCAGCACCTCGCCGGCCGACCCACCGACCCACCCCGCCGTCCGCTGCCTGTAGACTGCTTCCGAACAACGTTTCGTCGCTCTGTCTCACTCGCATCCCCACGGGGCGGCCCGTGAGTGCGAGAGAGACAGAACGACGAAAGGACGCTGCGGCGACGGCGCGAGCCGACACTCCATCAGCCAATCAGAGTTCACGAAGAGTCGTGTTCTTGACTGTAGCGGCCTAACCTTCTGTCATGACTGAACCGGGCCGGTCATGGCGCTTCCGAGACAAGCAGCGGCAATTAGCTGCGTCCAAACAAGAATGAAAGATTTCAGTAGAGTAGGTTCGAATTTAACGACTGCTTAGGCACTCGATTAGATCCGAACACAGGGTGGCTCATTTGACACGCTACTGAACCTAACTCTTGCAGCACGTATTTTGTTTTGGTTTCGGAACCTATATAAAACCTGTGGCTTTTCTTGCCCACAAAGAGAAGGGTTTGCAGAGTGGGTCGTCCCTCTTTTATCGACATTCGCATTGCAGTGAGTTTGGCGTTGCAGTCCATTTCTTCGGTCGGTCAGCAAGGTCAATCAGAAAGCGGTCCCTTAAATTTTGAGCAACCGTATTTTGATTGACTTTGTGAGCAAAGAGGTGAACGCCGCCATGTCGGTCGCTTTTATCGACATGCCAGGTGAGTGTGTGGCGGCCCCAGGTGGCCCCAGGTTGGCCGCAGGCGGGGCGGTGACAGCTGCCCGTCAACTGGGCCAATGTTATGGATCATTCGTTTCGGGAGCGGGCAGCGCGCCTCGCAGGCGCCCATAGCGCGCCGAGGACCTGACTCGAACGCGCGTCGCCGCTTCGCGCTCTTCGCAAGTTTCCAATGGTCCATGTCCGTGCAAGTCGCCCTTCCTGTCAGGCCTGTCCGCCGCGGAAGCGTACCCACGTAACGAGCCTCTTGGTGGAGTGGCGAGTCGCCCCAATGTTGACCGAGGCGCCGCCACTCGGCCGCCACTAGCCGCACCTGCGCGCCTCCCAGGCCTCCCAGCCCCCCGTCATCGATCCGGATCTGAATTCGCATGTGTCGCCACACCGCCGCCTCGCGGGCCGCGAGCACCATGCCGCTCAGCCTGCAGATGCTGACCGCCGTCGGCACCCTGGTGAACGCCTCCGCGATGGAGCTCGCCGCCGTGACGCTCGCCCACCAGCCCGTCGTCCTGACGGACCAGCGGGAGGAGGACGCCCCCCAGCACGACGACGGTGGTATTTCAATGCAAGGGAAATTCACTGCGACTGGTGGTGGTGGGGATGGCTGGAGACGGTGCGAAATGAATGCATTTCTCCCACCCAATGCCACAGCGCACTGCGGCGAGGACGTGCTGCGAGGGTGCGTCGTGAGGGCCAGCTTGTGGGCGGGCACGTCGGACGAGCCGTGTGGCGGCGCCGTGCCGGGGATGGCGCCGCTGGAGTCGCGCATGGTGGGTATCTTTCCCTTCCCAGCCGCAGAGTATGGAGGGATTTTTAGGTGGCTGAAACCGGTAGTGTGACCAAGCTCAGGGACATCTTCGAGGCGGCGGCGCACTACCACCACTTCCAGGCCGTGTGCCTGCCGCACGCCGGGGTGGCCGCCCTGCCCGTGGCCAGAAGCCGACTGCTGCCGGGCCCCCTGGGGAACCTGCAGCGCGGAGACATCGACGTGGCCCTGGCCCCGTACATCCTGACCAATGAGAGGCTGCGGCTCCTGCGCCCCACCACGGTCGTGCTGCAGGTAAACCCAGATATTGCCCGTGAGGCAAGCTGAGGCATTGATATTTATTTCAACACGGGTTGGGGCATGTTTTGCCTGCTAATGCGACAACGCCGTCTCAAGCCACGACCGCTGCCCGCAGGAGTCTTCGCGCCTGCACGTTCGATGCAAAGCCCTCGCCGTCGGCGGCCACCCCCTCGTGGCCGTGGCGGCCAGGATGTGGCGGAACGGACTGGTGCTGGTGTTGGTGCTCGCCGCCGCCACCAACGTGGCCGTGCAGGCCCTCTTCGTGCAGCGCGCGTCGAGGACGCGGACATTGGGGTACGCAAGAGTGTCTCAGCATCGGATTCCTTCGGTTGCCTCTACTTTGATGCAAACCCTATGTGCTCTCTCCAGCGAGGCCGTACTCAAGTCCACTGTGGACGCCTGGGCCGCGGCGTGCGAGACGGTCGCCCCCACCGCCAAGGCCGCCAAGACCCGCCATGCCAGACCGCCGTCGGCGACCCCCAAGCCGCCTGCCGCTGCGAGTTTCGACGATCGGCCGCCAGTGAGACACGGGTGGCTCAACGACGTCCGTTCGACGGCAGACAGATGAGCTGCCGTCGAACGGACGTCGCCCTGAGCAGCCACCTCTCACTGCTTCCAGGGGCCGGCTCCTTCCGCGGCGTCCTGCGCCTACAGCCTGGCGCGCTGCGTGTGGGCAGCCTGGTTGCTGCTCGTGCTCAACATCAACGTGGGCATCAAGGGCATGCTGTCCGCCGAAAGCTCTGTGCAAGTAAAGCCCCCAGGTCCCACCCTGGAGGAGGTCTCGAGCAACCAGCACCTCGTCGTCGGCCTGCCTTCTCCGCTGTACCTCAACTTGGTCAGGTACGTCACTGCGCTTGAGCGAAAAAGTTACCAGGGTTTGGATTAATGGTATGGAATTGAGTCCACTAGGTACTCAGGGGTCATACCTGTGCACTGTAACTTAAAACTCAGACCAGTTGGATTGCTGGTGCTCTCTCGCGTTCCGCGCTCCTCAACTGTGAACGCTCAAAACCTGCCTTCTCTCGACTCTCACTAAGTTATCTAAGAAGGACACCTTTCTACAAGACAACTGAAGTTTACTTTGTGTAATTATTTTAAACGCCTAGATCTGGTTTCTTGATTTTATGATTACATTTTGGAACAGCTGACCGTTGAAGGTCATTGAAAGAACTATTAACTTAAACGGCCACGCGTCTTACAAATATGTGAAGATGAGTGAGCCCAATTATTTTGATTCGACGGTCTGCATTCCGTTTTCAAACGGCTATGGCGTAAATTTTAGGAGGACGAGGCTTATTATCAATTAAGACATCGGTCTGCGCGTTTTCAGAATATAATTTTTAACAGTGAGGTCAAATGCTAGAATCGCGAGGAGAGGGAATCGAAAACGAGTGATGTATACTTGACGGTCGCGTCGGTGTTGTTGCCCAGCGACGTCCTGAACGTGCCCGCGCACCGCACGGTCGTGTGCGGCGAAGAGGAAGGCCAAGTCGACTGCGAGAGGGTCTTCGCGGAGGACGATCACTTCGCCGTCGTCAAGGAGACGGTGCTGCCGACGGGCATCAAGGCACTCCAGCTTTTCCAAGTACTTGCAGTTGCTGTGTTACTGCTGTGACGGCCCTGTCCCTGTCCTTGCCGTGCAGTGCCTGTCGGGGTGCTTCCACGTCCTGGACCTGGGACTCACCCAGACTCCCATCGTCTTTCTTCATCGACGAGCGTCGCGCGCGCTGGGGAAGGCCATGGACAACACCATCCTGCGACTGCAGGCTGCCGGCATCATCCAGCAGTGGCTGGACCTGGACAAAGCCCTGCGCGACCTCAGGACCGCCAGAAGGTACCAGTCTTGTGCAGCAATCAACAATCTACTTCCTCAAATTATTCCTAGAAATAAGTCAGACTACCCTCAGATTATTTCTAGAAACAAGTCACACTGCAGTGCTTCCTCCGGTTACTTCTTTATCTGCTATCATTGGTTGACAGGAAGACCATAAGAGTAGCTGTCTCGACCAACATGACGGTGTGGGACACCTTCGTGTTTCTGGGGTGCGGACTGGCGACGTCCGCCGCCGTGCTCGTCATCGAGCTGTACGCCAAGATGGCCCTGTCGCACCTATTTGCCAACGTCTGCAAACCGTCTTGATTTATTCGACAAAGGGGGAACAACCAGTCAGACCTCCAAAAGTGTACACAAACGTGACAAAAATATACAAATTACAAAATTATTAGCAAAATCACAAGAAGTTGCAAAAAAAATAGTTTTCAAAAAATTACAAAAATATCTGAGTTGTTTTTCGAGTTGTTTCCCCTTTGACCTCCCCCTTGTATCTGACCCCTTTCATGTACCATAGTTTTCTGGCAATACGCCCGTGAGCGGAAAATGTTTGTTAGATTATGGTGTAAATGAGTGCAGGAGAAATAAAAGGAAACGTTTGGATGAACACAGTCGTGCATTGAGCACGCGGTGCACGCGGTGCGGCTGCTGCTGCTTGGAGTCTGCAAAAGTGTGTCTCTGGTGGCGGCCCGCTGGCACCAGCCGCGGGTTCAGCCGCTCACGCCGACGCGCGTGCTGAAGCCGACCAGCATGTTGCCCCACTGGTACCAGACGCGCAGGGCCTGGCTGGCCGTGCGGAGGCTGACGGGCCCGAAGCCCTTGACGCTCATGTGGGCCGGCCGGGACGCCGAGGCGATCACCAGCAGCAGGGCCTTGCGCGTCTCCAAGTCGGCCATGGACTTGGCGGCGTGCCGCGCGAGCGCCGCCAGTGACTTGCTGCCTGCGACGCACAAAGTCAGTTCCAACCTGCCGTTCTCACACCGGAATGAGGCACTCCGCGAAAGCTTCGGATCCATTGCCACCCTTGACGCTGGGGTCCCGGTTGGTCCCGGTGCCGCACCTTCCAAGGCCCACGACGGCGGCAGCAGGTCCGGCGGCGGCGGGTCCTGGAACGCGGCGTAGTAGGCCCTATCCGCCATGGCCGTGCTGGCGTCCGTCAGGTTCTGGCTGAGGGTCGCCATGGGCAGGAAGACGCTGAGCAGGATGGACGAGCTGGTGAACGTGAGCGGGTCCACCACGTTGAACACCACCTGCAGGGCCAGCAAACGGTCAAAACAAAGGTGTCGTGAAAGCAGCGGGCGGCGGATGACTTTTCACCTGCAGGGTGGCGACCAGCGGCACGACCAGGATGGCCACCATGAGGTGCGCGATGATGTCCGCGAAGAAGTGCTCGTACTGGCGCGCCTCCCCGTTGAGGCGCTGGTGCAGCTGCACGGCGGAGATCACCTCGTGCCAGCCGCGCGCGGCCTTCAAGCACACCGGGTCACTTCACACCAGTAGGCCGCTACCTGCCAGCTCACGCGGCACGCCCTTCACTCGGGTCGCTGCCCGTAGGGTCCTAGATGCGTTGGAGAAACGCAGCGGGTGTGTTCCCCGGTCCACCATAGAGTGTTTTCTCCACATTGCTGTCAAGCCCTTTCAGGTGATAGTAAACGAGCTGATTGGAGTCCCTGGTCGAGCTAAATGTTGACCATGCCCCTCTTGCTCCAACGGGTCAGAAGCCATGCAATGAGGGAAAATCTGCCCGCCAGTTCGTTTCAAAATGGCGGACTTGGGGCAAACCCGCGTTTCTCGAACACATCAGGGACCCTAGCTGGCCGACGGCCGAATGCTGCGTACCTGGAGGCGCACCCCCAGCGCCTCGTACAGCCCGGCGAGCGCGATGGCCTCGGAGCCCATCAGGGTGACGAGGCTGAAGTAGCCCAGGCACCCCAGGAACATGGTGAGCATCTCGAAGGCGGAGACCGCGTGCTCGCCCCAGTGCCCGGGCAGCGGCGGGTGCGGCCACATGGGCGCGTAGGGGTGCGCGCCGTACAGCACGTAGGCCCACACGCTGACGACCATGCCGGCGGCGTAGGTGAGCTGCACCGCCGTCATCCAGCAGATGCCGCGGCCGGCGCGCTCCAACGCGGCCTGCCAGACGGCCAACAGGGCAATCACTTGAGCGCTATCTTTACCTGCGTGGCGGCGCACCGCGGCGCACGGACTGTGGACCGCCCCCACCTGCTCGTCGGGGCTGGCGGCGTGCTCCATGGCCGCGGCGACGCGCATCATGCCCGTGAGGATGGCGCGCGCCCTGGGCCGGCGCACCAGGTAGACGGCGTGCGCCGTGGAGCACGAGAAGAAGCCGCAGCTCATGAGCGTCCCCGCCGTGGACTCCTTGACGCTGCCACCGCCACGCACGGCCGCCATGAGCAGCATGGCGTTGGCCAGCACCATCGCCGCCAGGGACATCTGGCAAGGCCACACGTCACGACCAGTCCACGTAGAGTATGTCGTCGCCCTGTCGCCCTCACCTGATGGCAGCGAGGGAGACGGAGCGACGAAAGTACTCTTCTGAGACGTGCCCTGGCCACGGGGAGGAGTTTTTAACCTTCAACAAGAGATTGTCGCTGGTCACTGGGAGCGCCACTGAGGACAGACTCAACTCTCGTCACAATTTCGAGCTCAACATTTTCGCAAAGCAGGACTCGCACCAAAACGTCCCGAAAAGCGGATTCGGGCGCCAAACCGAGAGCGACGTTCCCGCGGCGCAGATTGCCGCCAAAGAGTGCTCACTTTGCTGCCGACGCAGAGCGCCCACAGCCACTGGCGCGCCGACAGTGGGGGCGCGGTCTGCAGCAGCCACAGCCAGACGGACAGCGGTCGGCTCACCAGCATGCTAAGCGTCAAGCGCGGAGCGCCAAGTCCCGCGGCACGCTCTGTCCGCGGAGTCGCGGGGCGCCTGGGGGCGCGCAGGCCGACGCCACGCCTCTTTAAATAGTCAGCCGGGCATGAATTAGCAGGCGGAGGCCTCCACGGCCCGGCCGCGGCCCGGCAAAGCGAGGGAAGGGAAGGGCTGCGGCGACAAATCTGGATTTTTGATACACTCGTGCATTATTAATTTGGCTGCTGCTATGACACTCACAAGAAAAAGAATCGCAAAAAAACGACACTTGGAAAAAGATTCTGGGGGGAACGAATTAGATGAGTTGAATACAAAGTAACACGGCTTTCACGATTGCCAGCATCAGCATCCTGTAAGATCCTCGGCCACGGCGCGCAGCCGCGAGCGCGTCTCGTCGTCGCCGGCCTCCTCGACGGCCTGCGTCAGGAGTGCGGCCTCGTCGAAGGCGGCGCGCGCGATGTGCAGGCGGAAGGCGAAGATGAGCTGCGCGGTGACGCTGGAGTAGGCGCCGATGAAGAGCCGCAGCGGCAGACGCAGCGCCACCGCCAGCGGCGACGTCAGCATCTCCCACAGCACCAGCACGAGCAGCGTGGCGCTCGCCCCCAGCGGCACCTGCAGCAGGAGCGTATCGGACTTTCTGGCTGGACCGCTTGCCGCGGCTTGCCGCCGCACTGTGAATCGAAAGCCGGCAGCATTCCCAAACCTTTACCGGCGGTCTTTAAGTTTTGCCAGCCCGCCACCGCCTCTTTTTATCGGCATAAACCGGAACGAGCTTCCGTTACTTCTAGTTCCCTCGCAACTTACAAACCGCAGAATCGGTCACCCAATAGGTTGTACACAGTTAAAAACTTCTTTAACAACGCTCTCTTTCACCGCCTTTCGATTTAGGGTGCAAGACGACACCTGGTTTCTTCATCTGTTGTGAAGGCGGTGCGGCGCTGACCCGCGACCGGAAGAAGTGGTGGTACAGGCGGCGCACGGGGCTGCTGGAGTCGCCCAGGACGACGTCGCGCACCCGCAGCAGCAAGGCGGACAACGTCAGCGTGGCTGAGGACGCGTCCTGGAGGGCAGGCCGCTGCGATGTCACACCCAAAAGGACGGAACTTGTCGTATTTGTTTTCAAATTCAGTGATTCAACGTCGTGTGTAAGATTGCAGGTGAAGTATCCAATGTTTAAAGTACTGTGCGCATTGTATTTTTTGACGTAGTTATGCTGGTTTACATGAGAACATTTTTGTGTGGACAAATGCGATTTTCCCCTGATTTTCCTCCTCACCCCTTCGGGCACCATCTCGCTCATCCTAGCGGACCGCGTCCAGGCTGCGTCTCGGCAACGGGTTGGCGTGGATGAGTCGAACGGCGTTGCCTGGCGGTGCCCGGCGGAGCAATACCCAGGTGGCGGAAAGCGCGAGGCAGCAAGATACGCCTAATTGATTGGATTACGTGACCCGCCGTGCCGGAGGGCGTTCTTTCTGTTTTGTCCGTTGAGCCCCATCAAATCTGCAGCGCCCCGTATCGACGCGCCACGGCCCCATCATTGGCCCATCCACAATTCAGTGCGCTCATCAATACCGCCAGCGAGTTTTCCACGACGGGGTGCTGCTCTTTGCTCCTGATTGCCAGGCTGCCGCCGACCGGGGCCAGCTCCAGTCGCGGACGAGGTCTCCAGCAGCAGTGGCGGCAGGGGCGGTCGGCGGGGAGGTGAAGCAGCAGTCCGGGTGGAGCGGAGCGGGTGAGGAGAGAGGACTCTGGCCCGCGTCGCAGTGGACCCAGACCCATTTTTGATTTCAAGCCTCTGTGTTTGTGGCTGTAGTCCTAAAGGCTCAAGGCTGCTGCCCTAAGCACTGCCGTCCTCAGGGCCGCTGTCTTCCGAGTCGCTAGGGCCGCTGTCCCCAGGACTGCGGTCGTCGGCGCAGGGCTTGCCGCCGAAGCCGTGGTCCTTCTTGATGAGGTCGGCGGCGCGCTCCGCCACCATCATGACGGGGGCGTTGGTGTTGCCGCTCGTGGTGCTGGGCATGGCCGAGGCGTCCGCCACCCGCAGTCCCTGCACGCCGCGCACGCGCAGACCCGTGTCCAGCACGGCGCCCGCGTCGCCGTCGCGGCCCATGCGGCAGGAGGCCGCGTAGTGCCACGTGGTGCCCGTGGTGGTGCGCGCCAGGCAGTCCTGCCACGCGTCCGAGCCGAAGGGGAGCCCGCTGGGGGAAAGAGTGTGAGCACGTCAAGGCTACTGCGTCCACGGTACAAATTAAAGGCACTTTCACGTTGACATGGTTCCTTACGCGCACGCTGGTGCCTGGCCGGGGTCCCGGTTCAGGGTGAAGCCGCGCTCGGCCAGCCTGGGCTCCATGGCCAGGACCAGCTTGAGCCCCTCCTTGTACACGGCCAGGTCCCGGTTGCCGTCGTCCGAGAAGAAGCCGAAGCGGACCAGCGGCGGCTGCAGCGGGTCGGACGAGCGCAGGCGCACCTCGCCGCGACTGCGCGGGTGCAGCACGGCCGGCATGAAGGTGAAGCGGTTGGAGCGCCAGCGGTCCAGCACCACGCACCTGCGGCCAAGGGGTACCCAACTCAAGACTTAACCCACGTTTAGTTGGTAATCAGTGAAATAACCAACATCATCCGATAAAATCGGGGATTCAATCACTTTCGACCTTTTTTGCGAGACCGCTGCTCCCAAAACTATCAGCGGTCAAAGCCTTCCCGAGCCGGGGCATGAAAGAGTACGGTCTTAAGAATACTAGGGCGTTGAGGAAGGCCTTTGACCGCAACTAACTTGCACGCAGTGGCCGCCCAAAGTCAGCAAAAACGACTACTTTGGGAGTTTCATTCACTTTTTGACCATTTTGCGAGACCGCTGCGCCCAAACTATCAGCGGTCAAAGCCTTCCCGAGTCGGGCCATGAAAGAGTACGGTCTTAAGAATACTAGGGCGTTGAGGAAGGCCTTTGACCGCTACTAAATTGGACGCAGTGGCCGCCGAAAGTCGGCAATATTTGATTTTTTGACACTTTGACTGCTTTCCGAGGTCGGCGCTCAAATCATCCCCTATATTCCGCAATAAGCAGCATAATCATTTATAATCTCCTATAATCAGTGATGTTCATAATAATAACATAATCAAAAGAAATCACATGTCATCGTACTCTAAACATAATCAGTGTACATGAAGTTGCCCTTGCCTGCAGCACGTCGCTGCACCTTGCCAGTGTGCCTTTTGCCTCACTCACCCGTTGGGGTCGTTGCGCGACCCGCTGACCATGATCTGCAGGTCGGGCTGCTTGGCCGGCCGGCCGCGCCCCAGCGGCGGCGGCGGGTCCACGCCGGTCCGCACGAAGGCGGTGATCTGCCCCGGCGTGGCGGACAGTGTGCCGTTGCGGTGCCGGTCGTACTCCTCGAGGTCGTCGACGCGGTGCTCCCAGTCCGAGACGCACAGCGACGCGTCGCAGTCGAACACCAGCCCGCCGGCCCGGCTCTGGTCCTGCAGACCCTGGCCCACGGGCAGGTCGGCCATCAACGAGATGTTAAAGGCCTGGAAGCAGGGTGAGAGGAGTCACTGTAAGCAATCCCACCTGATTTCGAACACAAGAACAGGCTAACACCGCACCTTGAGGTGCTCGGCCGGGCCGATCCCGGACAGCAGCAGGATCTTGGGCGTGTTCAGAGCCCCCGCCGTCAGCACCACCTCCTTCTCCGCCTTCACGACGCGCAACTGATAAAACGACCAACACATGTAAGAGCAACTATTGTATCGTAATCCTGACTTTTTCGTCCACTGCACCTTCACCCCCAGGCGCCACGACTCTTGTTTGCTGGGGGACGTACCCTGCCCGCCGCGTCCATGTACTCCACGCCGGTGGCGCGGGGCAGCGCGTCGCCCTCGGTGTTGGCGGTGGGCTCCACCAGCACCCTGGTGACGGTGGCGTAGGTGACGACGCGCAGGTTGCGGCGCCGCAGGGCGGGCCCCAGGTACGCCCTGAAGCTGCTGACGCGCTCGCCGCCCTGCGTGGTGGTCTGCACCACGCTGTAGCCGAGCTGGCCGCGCGCGTTCACGTCGCGTCGGAAGGGCAGCCCCGCGGCCTGGAAGGCGTCGGCCAGGCGCTGCAGCACGGGGCCGCGGTACGGGTGCCACGACACGGGCTGCCGGCCGCGCCTCCCGTGGAACCCTGCCAGTGTCGAAACAGTTTCCAACCCTCAGCCTGCCTTCTGGCACCCTCAACTTTCCCCTCATTGAACCAACTTACTCCTGTCCAACGCGATGATTTTGTCCAGGTTCCTCTCGGCCCGCTTGAAGTAGCGCAGCACGCTGGAATAGCCCCAGGAGAGGTCGCCCACCTGGTTCAAAATGTGTTCGCTCGTAAAGCCACCGAGCATTTCCAGGGCAATCGTTGTTCAAGGGTGTGTACTCTGTTTCAATCATAATTTCCAGATTGGAAACACGGGTAGGTCAACCAAAAAGGCAGAGTGACACATCCCGCTTGTCAAAGGTTCTGTAGAGAAAAGTCACAAATTCGGCCTGTCGGCCGCGGGGCCGCACTGTTGCCGTTGGCGACACGGGCGACCCACCTGCTCCGCCCAGTCGTCGTAGTCCACGGAGCTGCCGCGGACGTACAGCATGCCGTTGACGCCGCCGCCCCCACTGAGCAGGCTGGGCAGCGGGAAGACGCACCCCGTGCCGTTGCAGTTGCCCTTCTCCGGCTGAGCCTGTGTGTGTGTGTACGTGAGTGAGATTTGTTCGTTATGTAGGGACCAGGGCGTCGAGGGCGTGGCGGCCTGGTGGCCGCCGGCCGCTCACCTGGAGGAACTCCATGACGTTGGCGCGCGCCGTGAGGTACGACAGGAAGGCCGGCACGCGCGCCTCCGGCGGCTCCGTGCCGCCCCTCTCCAGCAGCGTGACGCGCACGCGGGGGTCCTCGGACAGCCTGGCCGCCACGATGCACCCCGCCGAGCCGCCGCCCACCACCACCACGTCGGCGACGTCGTCGTCCGGGCCGGGCTGCTCCTGCACGGTGCGTTCTCAGTGTTTTGTTTCAGTTGGCAGTGCACTGCTTTTCAACGAGTGTGACGGCACGCTCCGTGTTTTGGACGTGACGGTCGTCATTGAAGTTTGTCCGTGGCAGGACGGCGGCCTACCTGCGCCCTGGCCGTGCGCTCGGCCTGCAGGCGGCTGTTGATGACGGTGGCCAGGACTGTGACGAACGTGTACAGCGGGTCGTTGTCGCAGGCCGGCGACGCGGCGCGCGACATCTGCATCAGCATGGCCTCGGACAAGGCCTCGGACAGGACGACGGACAGCGACAAGGCGCCGGGGACTTGCGGACGTCGAGTCGGAGCAGGTAGCGAAGACCCCGACGACGCTGCTCGGCGCGGCGCGGCCTTTGCCTGTCTGCGACGACGGCGACGTCTGGGACTCGGGGGCCCGACAGCGCTCGCCGTCCCCCCGGCCCCGCGCCCCGCCCGGCCAACCTGGTTTGGTTTCCAACGGCGATACCGCCAACGTGTCTGCGCACCACTCGTCGCACTCAACGATCATTAGCCAAAAGAGGACTGCACTCGCGTATACCCCACGCGCCGGGGAAGCCGCGTGCGCGGAGTAGCGCCAGCATAGACGCCCGCCGCCCCAGGTCGATCTCCTCCGCGCTTGCCGCCGGAGTGAAGGAACTGACGTCATTGGTGGTGGGGCAGCTCAGGTGTGTGAGTGTGTGTGTGTGTGATAGGGAGAAGGGATGTTTTGGTGGCATGCATCTCTCTGCTGGCCCCACAGTGGCTTCACGGTTGTGAGCAGCTCGGCATTATCGGTGGAGGAGCGGCGGGGAGGGGGGGGGGGAACGACCTCCGGCTGTACGAATCCACGCCGCGGGCACGCCGCGCGTCGCCAAGCCGACGGCGCCCCGAAAGCACGGAGCACAACGAGCACCGGTACCCTTATCAGCGCCGCGGAGAGTCGGCCAAGTACGAAAAAGAAAAACACGCTCAAAGATTTTTTTTAACGACATGTTCTTTATTGTAATGACAGTGTGGAGCAATAACAGTAACACAGTTTTACTAGTTTCAGTCGAAGGCCGTGGCCAACGAAATATACAATAATATCACAAAGCAAATTTTTATCAGTTACAATGTTTGGTGAGGGTCGCAGCGTGGCCTAGAGCCACCCCCAGCGCACCATGTCGTCGATGACGTCACCTACGCGCCGCCTCATGTCGGCGCTCCACTTGATGTTGATGGTGGCCGAAGTCATGTCGCTCTCGTTCAGGACCGAGGCCACGGAGCCCTGCAGCTCCTTCACCTCCGCCTGGTTGGCGTAGAAGGCGAACAGGATCATGGGCGTCACGAACAGCCCGTAGCCCGCCATGTCGCCCAGCCGCCTCTGTGAACAAGGAACAAAGTGCGTTAGTCCTCGTCTTGCGAGCAAGTCAGTTTGGCCATGAGATTAGGGCTTGCACTATGAGCGTGAGCCGAACATACGTTATCTCAATATAACTATAAAGTGCTTTAAGAAGTCAAAACAAAATATTTTTTTAAGGATTTAAACAGATATAACTACAAAATCTCACCATGAACTGCTCCCACGAGTACACGCTGTCGGGGTCCTTGATGCCGGCGGCCCTCAGCGTGTCCTGCAGCACGGTGTGGTAGTGCTTGAGCAGGGCGTCCCAGTGCTTGTCGCGCATGGCCTTCTCCGTGCAGCACATCAGGAGCGTGCTGAGGTCCTGCGCCGTGGTGGAGTAGCGCGTCGTCTGGAAGTCGATGAGGCAGCACCCCGTGCACGCGCCAGCCTGGTGGGTGCAAACCCGGATCAAAGGCACAGTGGGTCACAAGACCGGCGGAGGCGGCCAAAACTCTAGACGCGTTTTGAGCGGCAGAGTCACTGAACTGAACAGGACTCGAACCGAACATGTGACCCCACCATCGGATTCCTCGTTCGGAGAGCAATCCATTGGTGGGGTCACACGCTCGGTTCGAGTCCTATTTAGCGACTGTGGAGCTCAAAACGCGTAGTGTAGAACTTCCCGCACGTCCTGCGATGTTCCAGGATTAGAGAAAAATAAAAGACACCGTTGTTCTGAGGCCGGAAAAAAAAAACGGAAGAGGAGGACGCCTACCTCGTCGTACTGGAAGAGCATGTTGTTGAGGTGGCAGTCACCGTGGATGATGCTGTTGCCGACCTCCCTGCCGGGGGTCAACAACTCGTTGAGAAACTTCTCGCCGAACGTGGAGAAGTGGTGCTTTACTTTGGCGTGCATCGGGCTGCCTTCGGGGTACCTCTCCAGCATCATGTCTGCGAAGGCAAGTCATTCATTCGACCGGTTCAGTGCGCCCTCCCGAAACACCGCGTCCAAAGTAACATATCGGAAGGTACGGTTACCCGGGGTGGTCTCCGAGACGTTCATGAACGTCTTCCACATCTCCCGGATGTCCTCCCTCTTGTAGGGCACCGTGAGCTTCTCGGCGATGGCGTTGAACTCGTCGGGGCGCTGCACCTCGAAAGCCATGGCGGCGCCGTGCAGGCGGCCGAGCTGGCTCAGGGCGTGTCGGATGTGGTGCTCGTCCAGTGCCACGCGGCGGTCGGCCATGCGGAAGCCCTCGGGGCACTTGTCGTCCACCACCAGGCACGGCCGCGCGCCGTCCGGCTTGGAGTACATGCACCTGGTGGCGAGTCAAGGCAGGCTTGCTTTCGAAAAGCCACTTGGTCGCGCGGCCTCTGCCACACTCATGGGACGTCCCAGCGACCAAACGACTCCAGGCAGTGCGAGGCGCCGGCAAGCGCCTGCGGAGCGACGCGTAGGCAACCCAACCGACTCCCCCGCGCGGCGCTCGCGGCACTGTACCATTACCATTAAGGGCTAGACCACACATGATCGTATGCCATTTCGGGCCCGACACATGCCCGCCTGCACTGCAAAACGAGACATGGCCGTCCTTACTGAGGTGACACTTTATCCCGGCACTAGCAGTCCGAGCCGAAGCAGGCTGCCTTTGCTCTGCCTCGCTCTGCCGCGCTGTGCCTAGCAGGCGCAGATCCAGGGCAGCTTCCCTGTCGTCAGGGCAGGGAAGCTGCCCTAACGGCGGCGAAGCCCCTGGAAGTAGTTTGCTACAATGCCCCCAGGACCCGCCACTGGATCCACCCTGGCTGGCTCGCTGCCGCCGGCACTGACCTGGGCCACGGCAGGGGCCTCTGCAGCTTGGCGATGTCCGTGAGGATGGGCGCCACGCGGCCGTAGAACTCGTCCTCCGCCGCGTAAATGAACTGCATCATGGGGCCGCCGCTGCCGATGTCCGACGCCGTGGTCTTGCAGATGAGGCGCAGCTCGTCGGGGCCGCTCTTGTCCTGGAAGAGGAGGGCGCTCAGTGCCGCCAGGCGCCGCTTCACAGTGGGCCAGAGGACCGGTGGAGGCGGCCAAAACTCTGAACGTGTTTTGAGCTCCACAGTCGCTAAATGGGACTCGAACCGAGCGTGTGACCCCATCAATGGATTTGCTCTTCGAACGAGGAATCGAAGGGTGGGGCTACACGTTCGGTTCGTGTCCTGTGTGGTGACCCTGGAGTTCAAAACGCGTCTAGAGTTGCCACCTCCACCGGTGTTCTGGACACCACTGTACGCTTACTCTTACCTCATCCCGGACGATGGCCCTGTAGATGATGCTAGTGTAGCCGTCCCCGTCGTTGGAGCCTGACTCGATGTGGAACCTGCGCACGGAGACACACACTGGTAAAACCAAGGCGTAACACTTCAAGAAGGACGCACTGGTCGAACGCCTTCCTTCACGCCTTACTGTGCACCATTTGCAATTGTTTTCTACCGTCCCTTTTTAAATGTATTTAGGCGAGGACTCGAAAAGAAAAACGCACTTCGTTTTTATAAATTTTACAGGGTGAACTAATTTTCAAAGCACTAACAGCCAACTAGGTTTTTTGGTCCATCGGCCGATGCAGCTTTGTTTGCTGTGCCTGCACGCGTCTCTCTCACTTCCCAGCATCATCTGTGTGGCCAACGTACTACTGTACGTTACTTTGTCAGCACAGTGGTTGGTCAAGGCCATGGCCGCCACGCCACTACTCAGGGACCCACGCGGCTGCCGCGGCTCCGCGCCCCGCGCAAAAGTAGCGTTTATTTTATTTTTTCGTCAGTCCTATGGTGGGATTGGCAGGCATTTTGCCGGTTCTGCCTCGGCCATCCCGGGCCCGGCCGGCCTGGCCACGGCCCACGGCCGCCTGTGCCCAAGGCCGCACCGTGCCAGCGGACGCTCTAGCGCCCTCAACCAACATGACATATCGCATTTCGCGCCAAAAACCAGGAGCCGATGATTAGCCAGTGGCCGTCGCGCTCACTACTTCAACCCTTCAAAACTGGATCGGAAAACAAACCACAGAAAACTTATCACAATGACAAGAACGGAAATAAAATTTTGTACATTACACTCTGCAAAATTGCAGCACGCGTTCCCGACCGAGGCCCGATTTTATCTGACTGACATCAACGGATTTTGACAGTCAGGAAAAGTCATGTCACGGTCCGAGATTTTTTCTAAATCTGGGTAACGCAAATCAACTCTTATTTCCAACAAAAACAAAAGGGGTGAAAAAAGGATTAAAAATCATGAAAAGTGTTGATTGAGTCCGCAATGTTGTGTCCGCTGTGCTTCGCGACGGGTCCACCAGTTAAGATTACGGAAAGACGCGGGCGAAGCGCTTGTTGACGTATGAGCGGAGCGTGTACACTGGAGGCCGTCCCGGCGGGGAGACTGACCCACTGTAAAATTTGGTTTACAATGATTGTGCAACATTACTGGCGTTTATACCGCATATGTCGCCAACTTGTTTTTTCACCTGAATGTGTTCGGGAAAGCCCCCCCCCCCCCCCTCCTCGCTCTGGGGCCCTCACCGCGGCTTCTTGAAGCCCGCCTTGCCGGCGACGGTCTTGATGGCTTCGCCCACCACGGCGGGGACGTCCATGGTGCCTCCGTTCACTCCGTTCACTCCGTTGGCTCCGTTCGCGGCCATGGCCAGCAGAGGACTGACTCCCGGCGCGGTCGTCCGTTCGGTAGGCACCTAGACGGAGGCGGTGGCCGGGATGTATTTGTGAGCGCGGAAGAGAGCTTCGAACGCGCTCCTCAGCGAAAGCCGGCCGCGATAACAAAGATAAACCGCATGCTCGATATGTAGTGCGCGCCTTTTAAGGGAATTGCGCCAATGGCGCCAATATGGCGCGTTCACGTGGGTGCGGTCGACACGTGCTCAAATTTCGGCAAATTTATTTCGAGTTTTCGCCGCTATCACAACACGTATAAAGAATATTGGAGAATATCTTCGTCCGTAATGAGTTTTCCAAATTGGTTAAAAAAAAGTCGTAGTAGGAAATTGCGCAATATTGGACGCGTGGGCGTGTATGCATAATCTTTGTGTGTGTGTGTGTGTGTGTGTGTGTGTGTGTGTGTGTGCACGCGCCAGCTATATTGCCGATGTGTGCACGGTGTGTTTTCATGGTCTGCTGAGTGCTTGGCGGCACTGGTACGCGCATGCACAAACCCAGCCGAAAATTCATTTACGATTTGGGGTCGAATCGAAGTTTATCTGGAAGGCTAGAAAATCTTCGAATCGACATCGATATGTACTTCAAATCGGTGTCGATTCGAGGTCGATTTCAAGCCGATTAAGTCCCCTCAGTCTGTCCAAGGTTTTAATGATATAAAATCTATAGTTCGATTTTTGTGAATATTCGAGATGGATAAAACGACTACTTCGAGCCATTATCGAGTGCAACGACGACGATTCAACCTCGAATCCGAAATGTATTCTCGGCTGGGTCGGTGCAATTTTTCATCACACCTCTGAAAGTCGGGCAGTATTTTGGCCCGACAGTGGCCTTCCGCCCTCCCCGGCCCTCCCCGAGACGCCGAGCTGTGCGCGGCACCGCCTGGCGGGAAGCCCGGTGGGAAAAACAGAGGAAACGGCTGCCTAGCATTTTGCGTCAGCCGAGAGAAAGGCTCCGGACGCCACCCACCAAAACAAGAGGACAACGTTTTGCCCCCTCGATCGCACTCTCAAAACCGCTATCTATTTTAAGGGGGGACATCACTCCGAATACAGAGCTTTTGTAAAATCGTCATAAAAACCAAACGGAAAGAGAAAAACTGTCCATATTTTAACAGATAAAGTAGAAAACAACATTAAGTCAATCCGCCCGGGCAGTACAGCGCTGTCGTTGAAAACGCATTTTTGAGTGTTAGGTTAGACCATTTCGCACGGTTGCAGCGCTGGACGCCAAACGGTTTGACCTAGAACAACGAAATTTGGTGACAGCCTTCCTGAGATGTCTGGCTATGGTGGGTACCTCAATCACATTTAAAAAATCATTTTAAGTTGTATTTGTTACATGCCAAAAAAAATTGTTCAATTTTTTTGGTCAAAATTGTTTAATTTTGAACGTTAAAAAAATAATAAAAATTGACCAATGCAAATTGTTTTGCTACCCACCATAGCGGCATGTCGTAGGAGCTTCCATGCTAAATCTCCCCGCTGTAGCTCAAAAACTGCGCCCTAGAGGCCTGCAACCGTTTGCAATTTCATGTTCCGAGAAAACGCGATCAAAGTTGTGGAAACTGGGCTTTTCCCCTATGCATGTTTGCGGCCCACAACCTCCCAAAACTGCAATTTTTTGAATTTCGGAATGCGGTTTTCGCCATTCGACGCAGAAAAGAATGGTCTATAGTATAAACTAATAAAAAAAAGGTGCGATTTTTTATCATTTTGGAGTGATGTCCCCCCTTAAGCCCAACAATGAAAAGTAGTACACACTAAATTACTATGTAGGTTTTTCTGCGTGCTAATGCACGAAATTGTACATGCACTTCCTAACGCACGAATTTGTGCGCAACAATGCACGATTTCCTGCATACTTGCGCACGAAATCGTGCATTATCGCGCACAAATTCGTGCGTTACGAAGTGCATGTACAATTTCGTGCATTAGCGCGCAGAAAAACCTACATAGTAATTTAGTGTGTATGTCGTAACAAAGTATTTTGAGCATACATGGGCTCACAAATAAATTTGCTTGCAATTTACAAACTATTGTACCTTCATATGCTCAGAATAATACTTGGTGTGGTTTGAAGCATGCGCGCAGCCAAGGCAGGCAGGGCAGCACACCGCCGCTCCTATTCCACACGGCCTGGCCGACTTCAGCCTCTATGCGCCATGGCTATTGACGTTTGACTAGTGTAGTGGACACGAGGAATGGCCCTACAAGGCCTCAGACATCGAGCGTTTTCTGAGCAGTGCCGAAAAAGGCCGGCAGGAGGCACTGTGAGTGATGCAGCGCCTAGCGACGCGGCTTTTCGAACGGCGAGCCGAGGCCTCTATCAGGACGATAACAGAGTTTTGAAGCTTCGCTGTGACGAGGCAGTACGACTCGCCTCGCACTTTTACTCAACGCGTATCGGAATTCGCATCTCCCCCCCCCCTTCCTCTCCCCGCCGGTAGTATACAGAGCAGTGCCGGCGCGCGGCACGGCCAGGCCAGGCGCGCCACGCACGCGGTGCCGGCCGAGTAGTAGTTTGGCAGTTGGACGCTGACCATGGTTGCGAACGGAGTGGCGAGCGAGGCTGCGCCGGCGGCGGCGCTGCAGGCCGCGGACGTCCCCGCGGTGGTGCACAAGGCCCTGGGCGGCATCGTGGAGGAGCGCGGCTGGGAGAAGCCCAAGTGAGTGAGTGAGTGAGTGAGTGAGCGAGTGAGTGAGTGAGTGAGCGAGTGAGTGAGTAAGTGAGTGAGTGAGTGAGTGAGTGAGTGAGTGAGTGAGTGAGTGAGCGAGTGAGTGAGTGAGTGAGTGAGTGAGTGAGTGAGTGAGTGAGTGAGTGAGTGAGCAGAAGTTGTCTCTCAGCTTGTGGGCGTGTGGGCGTGGCTGGGGTTGTCTCGTCGTTGCGCATCACACCTGCGAGGATGCGGCAAGGATCACCTTCACAGTCTCGCAAATACCACTGCGACACACATAGATCAGTTTCGTTTTTGTTTTTAATTTTTGAGTGAAATTTTCATGAAAAGCATGGCATTTCTTTTTTTTTCATGACCATGCCGCGTCGTTCCTAGCAGTTCTCATCATGAGAAAATTTCTGAATATTTTCTTCCTTTATGCTTTTTTTAACGTGGTCAAACGAAATGAAGGATGGGGTCATTTTGTGTCCGTCCAACGACAGTTGTAGCAGTGCATCCTTCTCATTTTAATTTTAACGTTCTCCAATGAGGCAGCTGGCAGCCGTCGCTTTTGGCGGGAAACTTTTGACTCAGAACGTCTGTCTCCGGAGAGGAACGTGTCGTTTTACGTACACTGTAAATGCAAAGTCCGGTTTGAAATGTAAGTCCCAGACGAGGACCATCACCCGGCTGTCATGGGGCCTCGGTCCGCGGTCCCATGCGCGCGCATGCGCGTCAGCAGCAGGCTTTCATTGGCCGCTCCACACTGTGAAAATTTGAGTCGTCACTTGATGACAATTTCAAGGCTAATTTTCCTTACAAGGATGTCATAAAGTCAATTGATGACATTGTTGTCACGCCCATGCAATAAGTATAGGAGCTTTGATGAAAATGTCATCAATTTGTGACGAGATTGACATCATTTCAAAGTGATGAACATGTCATCCTCGTTTTTGTCATAAAGTGACAACAAATTTTCACAGTGCACTGGGCGAGGCGGCGAGGCCCGCGGCCATGAGCGGAATCAAGTCCATGGCTACTGCGACACTGGAGACCAGCTGATGCAGCGTGGCGTTGCCTTGTTGTTGTAGGTTCCACATCGAGATCGGCTCTCAGGAAGGAGACGGCTACCTCAGTGTCCTGTACCGCGTCGTCGCAGAGAACGAGGTAGGAGAAGAGGTTTACCAGCATTAAAACTTGCTGACTTTTTTTTTTTGGCGAAAAATGGAAATTGTATCGTAGTATTGAGGATTGGAATTAGGATGCAGGTGTTTATCTCCTACGTTGCGGATGTGGCTCAAGAAGCACTCAGTCCACGTTGTGGGCGGCGTGCCCAGGCGTGCCGACGTGGCCGCTATCGTGTCGTCAGGCGGCGTGTGCATCACGTCAAGCCGTGGCGATAGCAGCCACCGCATTCTGCGGAGCAGGTCCTCTAAAGGAAGTGTCTTGCAGCGAGATTAAACTACTTGGATTTGAGACGCATTTTGCGCCGCGATAACAATCTGTCTGCGAAGGTCCTTCTGAGTGTTTTAAAGTGCCCCGGCTGAGCCACCAGCCGCCAGTGCCAGTCACTGTAAGTCCACCTTGACAAACGCTGTAATAATTCCATTTTTACCGGAGGGACTTGAACATGTTGCTTGTACATGGGCCAGGGTCCGAGTGACTGACGGGCACACTGCTCGGAGGTGTCAAATGCCCCGGGCGGACTGAACTGGCAGACCGCGGACCCGCCAAACCCACCGCCTGACCCTGACAACGATAAAAGTGTAGCCGCAACGCCTAGGCGACCTTGAGGCGTCTGCCGGGACGCGCGAGCGGAAGTCCACGGCCAGCCAGCGGCCAGCCAGCGGCCAGCGCGCACCTAGCGTCCTGCAGGCCCCTTCCGAATGGCACTGCTCCGTCTCTCTCGCACTCATGAGTGCATGATTGCCAGCGAGCGACCGAATCACTGTTCAGAGTGAGCCAGCCGACGGCCGGGTGCCGCCCGGATAGCCAGCCGGCCCCACTCGGTTCGGGTGGGAGGGGCGGAGGAGGCAAGGCCCCGCGGGTAGGCAACTTATGTGACATGCCGGCTGCTGACGAATGGCTGGCCTACCCCGGGCGCCAGACGCTCTCTTAGCCCAGCCTCTCTCCAATGGACTCCCTCACCCCTTTCTTACCATCGTGTTTGACTGGAGCGATGTTCCCGTGATGCACCGGCGTTGCAAAGTGAAGGCAGTCAACACTTTAGAGGATTCGGTAAATAATCGCCCCCCTCCCCCCCGAACGAGTGACCTCCACCAATGGATTGCTGTCCGAACGCGGAATTCATTCATTGGTGGGGCCGGGTGTTTGGTTCGAGTTCTGCTTAGTGACTCTGGAGCTCAAAAAGCGTTGAGAGTTTTGACCGCCCTGCGCCGGTCTTCTGGCCCACTGTGCGTTTTAAAGGGGTGCCAACCTCAGCCAGCCTTGCTCCCGAAAAAAAAACTGTTTTAGTCGAAAGCCCTCTCTACACTAGCGGACGTGGAGCTTTGAGCCTACTTATGTCGCAATATTGATGTCATGTTCCCCTAAGCACACTGTAAAACTTAAACTTAAGTGTGTACTGAGGACACAATGAGAGCACTTGAGTGTGTACTGAGTACACGCATAAAGTTCATGTAAGAGTACTGAAGTTTTCAGTGCAGATCTTCAGGACCACTGGTGGTCGACTGGTGGTCATGAACTACAAACGTCTTTTGCAAAGCTGGGCGTGATCCTAACGTCTCGTGATCCAGGCTGATGGCGACGACCTGCGCCTCATGTGCAAGACGATGCTCGGCGCCCTGGACGGCTCCCTCTTCCTCGCGCACGTCTTCAAGGCCGAGTCCCTCATGTACAACAAGGTGCTCCCCGCCATGGAGGAGATCGCCAACATGAAGAAGCCCCTGCCCTGGCCCAGGTTTTTATTTCCACTACTCACTTTCTTACAATATTTTTCACATATTTTGAGAGTCACCCAGTTTTGCACCACGATAGAGCACTTCGCATATGAGCTATGACGGAAGTTGAGAAGAAGTAAAGAAAACAAAAGCCGGACTTGTATGAGAATATTGCTCTGTGGCGACGCAGACGCTCATTCTCACGAATCCCGCATGCCGTTTTCTTTTTGATTTCTTCTCAACGTCTGTTTCGGCCCTTCTCCGAAGTACCTTATCAAACAAGGGAGCGTCAGCCGCGTCTGTCATTCAATGAGAACGGCGCCGCGATTTTCCTCGCTCACGTTGGCGTTGCAGAGGCTACCCCAACGAGCTGCAGCCCCCCTGCCTGGTGATGGAGGACCTCCGGCCGGAGGGCTTCAGCATCTGCAAGAGAGGCACGGTGCTCGACGACCAGCACGCCCGGCTCTTCGTGACAGAGGTGAGGTGACTGACGGAGCACCGTTCAACAACAACTTGTCTTTCCTTCGTTTCATTCGCTGGGTCTTGGTGTGCAGATGGCGCGCTTCCACGGCGCCGGCATGGCCCTGGACAAGCTGCGGCCTGACTTCATTGCCGAGTTCGTCCGGGAGTCGACGAACCTCGCGGTGATGGAGGAGCTCAAGGAGAAGTTCGCCGTGTTCACGAACAGCGGCCGCGAAGCGCCTCGTAAGCTCCCTTGGCCATCCAACAGAGTCGAGCGCAAATCAATCAAACCAGGAAGCTTTAACGGTTTAATTTTATTTTCTAGTCATGATCAAGGACAGGTTCCCGGAGGGATCACCCGTGTTCGAAAATCTGAAGACCCGGTTCGAGTCTTTCGGTACAGACTTCTTCGGGTACATCGTGCCGGACCCCGACGGGGGCAACGCCATCGTGCATGGCGACGCCCACATCAACAACGTCATGTTCCAGCGCGATGAGGTACTTGGTCTTTAGAACCTAGAGGAGAAAAGCACGCCCTGTACTGACCTATTTGTCTCCTGCCCGCAGTCCGGCGCGCCCTGCGGCTGCCGCCTGATCGACTTCCAGGCGGTGCGCTACGGCTGGCCCACCCCCGACCTCCTGACCAACCTGCTGTGCGTCACCGAGAAGCCCACACGCGACAAGCACTTCCGGGAGTGGCTCAAGCTCTACCACGAGACCCTCCAGGACACGCTTTGCGCCGCCGGCATCAAGGACCCCGACAGCGTGTACTCGTGGGACCGCTTTCAGGTGAGGGCGCGGTCCGAGGCGGCCAAAGACTGATCCTTCCTTTCACATTTTACGTAACACGATTTTGTTTCGTCGGGCAGGGCCACCTGAGCCGCGCCGCCAAGATGGTGGTGTGCATGGTGCCAATGTTGGTGTTCGGCTTCACGGAGGACGAGGCCATCAAGGAGATCCAGGGCGCGCTGGCGACAATGGCGACCAACGAAGAGGACCAGCCCCCTCCCGACTACCAGTTCAAACTCAAGGAGACCCCCACCCTGAAGCGACGCTTCGGAGACGTGGTGGACGACCTGGTGGAGTGGGGATGGCTGTGATGGCTGCGTTGGCTGTGATGGGGACTTGATCCACTTGGGCTCGCAGGGCGACCCCTTTGGAAAGTTCCAAGTATTTCTTGACGCATATTGGCGGGACCAATGCGAAACGTATCATTATAAGACTTTGCAGGATTACCCTGCATCAAAACACTAGACCCCACGGGCCTAACCAATCGTGATAACTTACTACCATTTCTTACCACATGTACAAGTGCATACACATCTGTCGAAACCGCTTGTTTTTTAAATTGGATAAAATGTTCCAAATTTATTATGTTCTTGTAGCTGTATTATTAAAACCATTATGCCCTCGCACATCCAAACGCTGGAAAAATGTCCTTGAGCTCTGTAGAGCAAGTGGAATGAAAACGGTGACGTCACCCTGCTAAATTTCTCCGCTGCCTATTTATTCATTGACCTTTATTCGCCGAATGGTACCATTTGGGCTTGTCCGCTGCAGCTTTGATGAGAAGCGGCAGCGGAACGGTCATCTAAGTCACTATGTCCAGCGACTAAACCCACACGCCCTTCCCCTCTGGCCTCCACTACCCCCACCCCTTCCCCCTTGCTGCCCTACTAGTCCACCACGTCAATGCACACGCCCCCGCGCCTTCCTCAGTCCGTCCGCGAGTCCCACTCCACACGGAAGCCCACATTCCTGGAACGGCGCGGAAAGCCATGGCCTGCCCTTTGACAGCCACCCTGGGGACCGGCGCCGAGATGCCCCTGCTGGGCTTCGGCACGTGGCAGGTGACCAGCAGTAGTGAATCACGATGCTTCCAAGATGTCGATTGACTTTCCCAGGTATCTTTTCCTCGGAGGAGAGTGGTTAGGGTGCCTGTTTCAAGCGTTGTGCGGTGGCAGGCGCTGGGCGGCGAGCTGGAGGCGGCCCTGGAGACGGCGCTGCAGAGCGGCTACCGCCACATCGACACGGCGGCCTTCTACGGCAACGAGGGCGACATCGGCAAGGTGCTGGAGGCCTGGATCGCGGCGGGGAAAGTACGGCAACATTTTTGTGACAGTAAATCAAAAGCACGAGAGAGCATAGCGAAACTTTGGGCACGGCCCTTCGTGGACAGGGCACCCGCGAGGAGCTGTTCCTGGTCACCAAGCTGCCGCCCGCGGCCATGCGCCCGGCCGGCGTGCGCAAGAGCGTGGAGCGGTCGCTGCGGGCGTTGCGCACCGACTACATCGACCTGTTCCTGATCCACGTGCCCGTCGCCTTCGTGGAGCGCGGCGACGAGATGCTGCCCCTCGGTGACGACGGCGAGGTGATCCTGGACCGCGACTCGGACTTCGTGGCCGTCTGGAAGGTAAGAGCCGTTGGCGCATAGTGCGGGCCTGTTTCGGCGGCCCCTCGGTGCGAGCAGGCAGGCCGTCAGGCAGGCAGTGCATGCGGCACCATAATTAATGAGTGTAAGGCCGAAGGCTGTCCTTCCGTGGCGACGCTGCATTATCTATCGGCATCGACGTCGGCCTGGGCGTGGGTGGGGATGGACGCGCGGAGGGCTAATAAATTCAGACCCGTGATTCCCGCTCACGCCTGAGATTTGATTGGCTGCGCAGGCAATGGAGGAGGAGGTCGACAAGGGGTGCGTCAAGGCCATCGGCTTGTCCAACTTCACCGAGAACCAGATTCAGCGCGTCCTGGACAACTGCCGCATTCGCCCGGCCAACTTGCAGGTACCCAGATGCAGACAATATTCTTGTAAAGGGTTTTTGAAGACCGCCACACTAACGCTGACTGGGATCAGGTGGAGCTGCACGTGTACATGCAGCAGCGGCCGCTCGTCGCGTTCTGCAACACGCAGGGCATCACCGTGACGGCCTACTCGCCCCTGGGCAGCCCCGGCCTCGAGAAGGTCTACGCCGCCTGCGGCCTGGAGTAAGCCATGCGCACTGCTGCGATCACAGTCAAATTGGAGAAGTGTTCTTTTCGGACCGCAAGGGGGACTCAACTCAACGAATTCGCTACATTTTTCGAAGATATTTGACCTAGACGACGCTTTCGGGAGTCCCCCGGTCATGCTCTCGCTGTCGGCAGGAAGGTGATGCCGGACATACTCCGCAACCCCGTGGTGGAGGAGGTGGCCGCGCGCCTGGGCAAGTCCCCGGGACAGGTGCTGCTGCGGCACACCGTGCAACGCGGCATCGCCGCCATCCCCAAGAGCACCAACGAGGCCCGCATCGCGCAGAACATCCAGGTCAGGCACTTTGCCGACAACAGTTCCTATAAAAATGTTGCTGTACAAACGTTCAGAAACATTTTAGCACAAAAAAGGCGGGAATCCTTCAGAGTATCTTGTCCCAAAATTTATAATCACGTAGTTAAGAAAATACATTTTTAATTTTACATCAAGCTATGTGATGCCTTTTCTTTTCAATTAGCAATGAAAGGAGCCCAATTGAACAGCTTGCGCCCTTACAGTAAAAGAAATAAAGTTAAAATTGGGTTTAATTTTTAACATTTTCTTTGCTGTTTAGATCTTTGACTTTGAACTGAGTCCCGAGGACGTGGAGAAGCTCGACGCACTGGACCTGGGCGAAACGGGTCGGATCTGTGACCTAAAGTTCGCCGTGGGGTACGCTGGCGCCCGTAAGGGATCTTGCCGCCGACGTAGAAGGTCCCAATCATCGCTAATTTCACGTAATCACGTGTTTCAGGCTGCAGAAGCATCCGGAATACCCCTTCTAGTCACAATTGTTTACACGAACGAGGAGCCACGATTGCACCGAACAAGCAGAAAACCATGGCACATTAGCAAATAAATAATAGAAAGCAATTTGCCTGGCGATGGCACCGCGTCTTATTACCGCCCTGTATCCCTCATTACCTGGAGGAAGGACACGAAATTGCAGCAGCGCGGCGCACACAGTCGACGGCAGGATGGCGTTGCTGGAGGAGTACTTGCAGGCCTGGCGCCGTGAAGTGCTCTACGACAGGGAGCCTAGCGCGGCCTGGAGGGCGGTGTGGCGCTACCGCAGGGCCAAGGTCAGCCAGTGTCAACCAAACACAACCCCCAAGAATTCGAGGCCCGTTTGAGACCACCACGGCGATAAAGGAAGACCCACCCAGCAAAACATGACGTTTGGGACGCGACGTAACACTGGCTTTCCTCCACAGTGGTTGCTGGTGGCGGGTTACGCGTGGGTGGGCCGTGCCCTGGTGGAGACCGCCATGGCGCCCAACCTGGAAGTCCGCAACCTCACTCTGGTCCAGTTCACGGCCGTGCACCTCGCCATCGCCGCCATCTACGTGTTCGCCTTCCACTCCCCCGAGTGCGGTAACGCGATCACCTGCCTCATTGCTGTGGCGCGCTGCGTCGAGCGGAGCGCTGACCCGGCCACGGAGGTAATGGTGGGGGAAGAGAGATGAGAGTAGGGGGACGGCTTGGCACGAAGAGCAGCTCTCTAGGCGTGGAGGGGGGAGAGCGGCTGGGGTGGGAAGATTCCTGTTGGCAGCTCTTTTCCTTATAGTGGCTGCGGAAGAAAGGGGGTTCGTCAAGAAAGGCTAGGACCGTAATTTTCCCGAGACTAGAAACGCATTTCCAGTTGGAGTTTCGGAACATGGTGCGCCGGCAGCGCCGTATTGGTGCTTTCACCGCGACCGCCTGGGTGGCCCACATCCTGACCTCCCTGCAGACGATCAACGGCTCGCAAAAAGTCTCGCCCCTGAACACAGCGCTCGCGCCCGTCGGCGGCGTCTACTACACGGCCGCCAACACGGCGTTCATAGCCATGCAGGTGAGGGACTCGGTGCCGATGTTGCTGATCGCGCCGGGTGACTAAACGACTTCGCGTGCCAGGTGTGGCTCACTATATTCGGCCTGCTGGCGTACTACCGCATGCTGGCGCTGGCCTGCACGCTGTTCGGCGTCACCACGGCAGTGTACCGCAGCATGATCTCAAAGAGCGCCACGGCGCGGGGTGAGGCGTCGTCATTTTATCAAGTTTCTGCCGTTCACTGCTGCTCTGCTATTGCAGCTCGGGGCGCCTCTGCGTGTGCGCAGGGTCGCAGCTCGACGAGCTAGCCGCCCTGCACGCCCTCATGCTGGAGTGCTGGTGGTGGGCCAGGAAGGGGCTGGGCCGCGCCGTGGTCGTGGTGGTGCTGGCGTGCGCCGCGCTGCCCCTCGCCGCCACGGTGCACCTCACCCTCACGTACCAGCACGACTCGCGTCCCTGGGGCAAGCTGGCGGCCTTGCTGTTCCGCCTAATCGCCAACGTCCTCATCCTGCTCTGCTTCGCGGGTGCGCTCATTCACCATCAGATTGCGATTGTTCGAGGTCCAAACCGATTTTTGAGTCTTAGTGTTACCGATGCTCGTACCGATGCAGGCGACGAGCTGGAGAGGAACAGCCAGCTTCTATCAACGAGTCTGTACGGCGGCCCCTGGCTGCGTGAGACAGCGTCGGAGCGGCTGGTGCGACTCCACCTCATGCAGGCCACCTCCAAGGGGTTGATCCTGCCCGTGAAGGGGCTGGGCCGCCTCAACAGGCCCTTCTGCCTCGCCGTCGTCGAAAAGTGGTTCAGCTTCCTGCAGGTCCTTCTCAAGGCGCAGGGCCTCGGCAGCGCTGACTAGGCCGTTTGCATAGAGGGAGTGCGCAACCTTAGTGAAGGGCAGGTGGCCCGAAAAGCAATGGAAGTAGTGGAAGCACAGCGTTGTAGTAGGTTTGCACAAAATGGACGAAATAAAACCGTTTTGCAACCGACACTACATGCTCTACTCTAAGGACTACGTTCATTGAGTACCAACAACTCAGAAAGCTTATGTACAAGGCTGTGTCGACAAAATACGTATAAAAAAGGGAGCTACCTCGCTCCGTGCGCCCCCAGGTCCCAGGCTCCGGCTAGTCACTAAACTTCATCAGGACCTGAAGATAGCTGAACCAGGTGCGCATGACGCTCACGCACGAGGACCTGGCAACAAACAGTACGCCTCTGATAGTTGAAGTGGAAAGGTAAGTTATGGAAAGGAAAATTTGACAATTAGTATCAAGTACACTCAGAGTGACCGTGAACTCAAGGTCAGCATGAACGTCACATCGCTGTAGATGACTCAAAGAGACTCGTTAAGGGTGAAACGGAGCCAAAAAAAGTCCTGACGCATTAAGTATGAGAGTTTGAGAGCACTCATAGTAGTAGCGACAGAACGATTCTTGTGCAACCCCGACAATACACCGTGACCGAGTGGCTCTCAGTGCCAGCCTTGTGAGGGTTCTCTTGCATGTAGAGTTTGAGCAATGACTACTCGGTTCAACCTGTTGAGGGTGCCGAGGGCCTGCACGCGCACAGACTCGGGCTTCTTGGCCAGCACCATCATCTGCAGGCGGCCGCGCCGCTCGGCCGGCCACTCCGTCAGCCAGGGTCCGAAGTAGCAGCAGGTCGGCAGGGCACTGCTGCTGTCCGTCAGCCTCTGGCCCACCAAGCACTGGCGCCAATCGGATCATTAAAAACAGAAAACATGCGCCGCAGAGCTGCGACGATGATCGTGACACGTCCCATCAACGCAACGATCAGGACCCTACGATCAAAATCACAGCCACCATTAAATGTATCACCAGAGTAAACTATCACTAATTTAGCATCAGAATTTTAAAAGCGATCAGCGTGTACGATCAAAGTCAGAAAATTTGACAGAAAAATACACGTTACGAAACGGCGAGATTCTTTCCTGTTAGTTTGCAAATCGGGCATCGATCAGAACTTCTAGAGCTCTGCGAGCGAGCAGCAGAGCGAGTCCGCAAAGCACACGTGATGGACACTAATGGAGCCAGCTCACCTGCGACACGAATATAATGAAGACGAGGGGGACGCTGCTCAGCGCGAAGGAGTCAGTCTGGCCGCGCGCGAGGATCACCTCCGCCGTGCTGACCTGCAATTTAACGGTGCCGCTAAAAAAAACGAGGTTTGGCCTGGTGGGCGCGTTGTTTGATGCGACACACACCAAGGGCATGACGAGCCCGGCGAACAGCAAGTGGGGGAAGAGCGAGCCGACCAGGGCGTCCATATGGCGGCCGGCCTGCAGCAGCGCCGTGTGCATCTCCGCCGAGCGGACGTTCTCGGCAACACCCCCACGCGCCTTCAAACGCAACAGTTGAGTGGCAAGTCGACCGACCCGGCCCGCGCGGCCCCCCCGACGGCGGCGAAGGGAGCTGCGGCCGGCGGCCCGTACCTGCATCCGAGTACCCAGCTCGCGGTAGAGCGCGGCGCGGGCCAGGTTGACGCACATCATGAGCGAGAGCAGGCCGTAGTAGGACGAGATGCAGCACATGCTGCCGTTGCACATCACCAGCACCTAGCACCGACCGCGCAATTGAGGGGTCAAAACACTTGTGTCAAGATGCCTTGGCCGCTCTTGCGAGGAAAAACAATTTCAAAATGGAGGGTTAAGCAAAAATTAAAAAAAAAAATTGAATCAAATTCAAGGAAACTTTTAAAAAATTGGTGATAATTGGATTTAACTAAAGGTAAAGGGGTGATACAAATCGGCAATGTTGGCTGTCCGTATACTTTTTTTGTACCAGTTTAAAATTGTTTGAAATCTATTCTCTTGCATTAGTTTTTGGCCCGTCCCGTTTTTTGTCATCGTCGAATGAACTTTTGACCCACCTTGGCAGCCAGCGTGGGCGACTGCAGCCAGGGGACCTCGGTCAGCACGGTGAAGACGACGGACAGGAAGGACGATGCTGACGGTGAAGGTGGAGAAGAAACGCTTGACGCGGCGCATCAGACGCGCAGCGGACATCATCCGCGCCTACAACAAGGCCACGTCAGCCGCGTCACCGTCAGGCCCCAATTTTTGAAGATCCGGGCATTAGCGTCGCCCCCTGAACCGGTCTCTGGATCCACCCTGCAGACTGATTCCGAGAGTCGTTTTCATCGCTCTGCCTCTCTCGCTCCTGAGCTATATCCAATTAAGACTTACGCCTGCGAGAGCGTGAGCGCGAGAGCGCGAGAGCGGTCGCCTGAGCGAGGAATCGGAGGAGTGGGGGAAGAGTTTGGAGGGGAACTCTTCCCCCACTCCTCCGATTCCTCGCTCAGGCGACCGCTCTCGCGCTCTCGCGCTCACGCTCTCGCAGGCGTAAGTCTTAATTGGATATAGCTCTGTAGGGCGATAGGTACGAGAGAGGGCGCGACGAAAGCGACTCTCGGAACGAGTGTCGCTGCTTCGCGCTTCGCACCGCGGCGGCCGGCGAGGCGTCGTCCTGGAGGCACGCTGCGACGAGGCCGGCGAGGCGCAGGGCCTCCTGGACGCGCGGCAGCCTCCGCCACATGACGAGCTGCGCGGCGATGGACGAGTGCGCGCCGACGTACAGCCGCAGCGGCACGCGCGCCTCCTCCATGTTGGCGCACTGCGACAGGTCGCGCAGCACCAGTGACGTGTGCACCAGGCTGCTCAGCACGGAGTACTGCGCGACAACGGCCACATTAGCCACATCAGGCCTCTCAGTCGATTTGCCAGAAGACCGACGGCCGAAATTCTGGACGCGTTTTAAGCTCCAGAGTCGCTAAACAGGACTCAAACGGCACGTGTGACCCTACCAATGGATTGCCCGTTCGGAGAGCAATCCATTGGTGGGATCACACGTTCGGTTCGAGTCCCATTTAGCGACTCTGGAGCTCAAAACGCGTTTAGAAATTTTGCCGCCTCTACCGGGGTGTTCTGGCCCTCTGTGGGCCCGTCCCGCGCGACGTTCTGTCCAACCGGAGCGCACTCACCCAGGAGCCCCTGATGTGGCGCAGCAGCCAGAGGCCCACGCCCGGTGAGTCCCAGGATATTTCGCGCGTCCAGGCGTCCAGGGCGCGACGCAACGGCCCCTGCTGCGGGCGCATTCAAATGAGGAAGGAAAGCTTGGGACGAAACTAAAATTGATGCAGGAGTCGGAAGCAACGCCGAGCAAGACTGCTCAATCCCAATGGAAGTGCTGGAGAAGCAAGCTGAGGTGTGTCCCTTGCCTGCTCTGCATGCTCTGCCTGCTCTGGCCGCGCTCTGCCCATGTCCTTCGCGCTGCTGAGGTGTCGCGCTGTCGCCGTGGGGAGACTGGCGGCGTGCCCCGCGCGCACTGCGTAGTTTCCGGGCGGCGAGTACGGAGCGTGCACTTGCAGTGCGGGTGCGTGACGGTTGGGGCCATGCATAAGTCACCCTGCCCCTTATTCATGTGCTATATGCGTGCTTGCTGGCGACAGAGGCCGCGTCCGCGTCGATGCCCTCCAGCCCGGCTAGCCTCGCACGCAGCCGGCCGGCCGGTGGCGGTGCGCGGCGACGTGGCCGCGGCCAGAGCCGCCGCCGACGTCGCGGAGGCCGCGTCGCCGCCGCCGTCGGGGACCTGGAGTCTCCGCCGCGCCGAGCCAGGCCGCCAGGGGTCAGTCAATCATGAGTCAAAGCGGGGGTACTTTGGTATTCGACTTTATTCGCAAAACGCAAAAACAACAGCAGCCTCAGCGCATGCACATGCAGTACTTGTCCCGGAGGTCCACGTAGCAGATGCCGTGTCGGAAGCCGTGGCCGCGACAGACCTTGTAGCACAGCGGGTTGCCGCTCACGGCGCAGGGGATGTGCCACGGGAACTTGGAGCCGGCTGCAACCACTGCCATTGCCTCCGGTCAGTCCATGCTCTCCTCCAGGAGGGCCTTCGTGACGCTGGCGTGGACCTACCTGGCGTTGACTCCGCGACGGCCACCAGCAGCAGGCACAGCGAGAGCACGGCGACGGCGAGCTTCATGGCGGCGGTGTGGGCGGCAGGCGGAGCAGTGCAGGCGCAGCCAGCGTCGCCTCTCGCGTCTCCTCCGCTATCGGTCGTCTCGCCGATTGCGGCACCCTGCGTTCTGCTAATCACTGACCACCGCACTGCAAAAAAAAACTCCGAAACGCCAAGTACGCCAAGTGGTTCAATTGGTTTGATTGCTGATTGTTGGTCTTTTTGCGGGTCCGCTTCGCCCCCGCTCGTCTCCGCCGTCACAGCGCAGCTGCGTCCGCGCGGCTGCCGCCTGCGGCCAGGAGGGTAGGCAACCCCAGCCACTCCACTGCGCGAAGGCTTGCCTGCCCGGCCGGGCGTTCAGCAGTCGGGCGCGGGGTATCTCCGCCGCACCGCGACGCTCCGCGTGTCGGCGCGGGGTAGCGACGCTGAGAGTGGCGCGGCGCGCGGCAGGGAAGGCCAAGTTTGTTTTATTCCTCGTGCATCGCGTCGGCCGCGCCAAATGAAACAGCGGCAGCTGCGCGTCCTGCTGGCGGGAGAGAACTCGGCCTCTGCATGAGTCGAGTCGTCGAGTCGCCGAGTGTGTCGCGTCGCGTCGCGTGGGGGACGACGCCACGACGTCCAACTTGTTTTCCTCTTCTTTTTTGGCGGAGTGTTTTGACAACGGCGCGCTGGTCCGGCTGAATGGAGCGATGGAGCACCGACCAGGCCGACCGCCGAGTGGCGGTTAGCCGTCAACTCAGTCACCCAGGACGGCGTCCTGACGGCGTCCTGATGGCGTCCTCGCCGAGCTCGCGGCTTTCGGGCTGTCTATCGTCCCATTCCAGCCGCACTACACCGTTATGTCGTTGGCTTTTCGGGATTTGGAACGGGGAGGGGGGGGGACACTGCCGCAGCGCGGGGGCAG